TTTAAAAAATTTTTTAACTGCAATAAAAATTTGCAAATTTTTATGAAAACTATCTATACGGCTATTGGTTTTTAAGTTACAATAAAATATCAAAAAAACATTTAATAAATAGTTATTTTATGGGTGATTAAAAATTTATAACTCAAACGTTCAATATTAATTTGACTTTCCCGTAATGTTCATTTTAATAAAGATTTAAAAACTTATAAATTAATTACTATCAAATTTTCAGATCTTAACTAAAAAAAAAATTTTTTTTAGTTTCCAACAATGTAAAATAATTTGAATACTGTTGAGATTTTCGAATTTAGTAGAAATTCCAAATTGAAAAACTTATAAAAAAATATTTTGATAATAAATTGTTGATATTTTTTAATTAATAAATGAAAAACTTGTGAAGAATCTTATGTTCAATTTTTATACATTTTTACCCAACGAACAATCAATGTTATCACATGTATCTATATAAAAAAAAATAATGTAAAATTTCTTATATCTATACATAGTTTAAAAAAAAGTTAAAATATTTTAAAAATTATATATATACGTGAGAAACGCTAACATGAATATTCTGTGAAAATTTCAAGTATCTAAGATTACTTGTTTTTATATTACAACAAAAAAACAAAATCGATTTTGTCAAAAACTAGTTTTGCATGAAATTCCTGTTTTTCCTTAATTTATTATTTGACTCTCCAGATTACTTTGAAAAATACTGGGAATTTTTTATTTAGACTTGTTTGAAATTGAAATACAAATTAGTTTCTTAAAGTTGAAAATTAAAGTATTTTTCGATTACTTATTGCATATATCAGTATATGTACCGACACAAAAAAAATACCTTTACTTATAGATATTAAAATAATTTAACTTCACTAGCAGATAAGAATTAAGAGTCAAGACAAAATTGTAAGGTTTTGAGCAGGAATGTAAATTATTTGGCTACGATTTTATTTTTCGTTTTATGTCAGAATACCGCTATTAATTTATATATATATATATAGAGTGAGAGAGAGAGTTAAAACGCATACATTCTAAAAGCCACTATAAGGTAGCTTAGTGTTTAGATATATTATAGTATAAAGTATAATATAGTATCTTAATTCTTATTATACGAATACAAATTATGCATCGACGTGACCATAAATATTGTTAATACAAAAACAATAATATTTACCTAATTTATTAATTTATACAGTATTTATATTTTTCAGTTTCATAGAGAATATTACAATAACTATGCTGAAATATTGGATCTCAGATGAGTAATCTCATGCAGTGAATATAGCTGGTAAGTTAACTAAGTATAGGTATAGTATAAATAATAATTAACTATAATTATAGTATAGTAACTATAAGTAGTAGATATTATTTAGTATTTGTTATTTAAGTACTAATGAACATTAGCTCATTGGTTCTATGTATAGGTAGGTACTTACATTATAATAAGATTAGGCATTGGAATGTAATTTATTATAATTTTGTATTATCACATAAACGGACATTGATTTACGATTGATAACCGAAATTTATAGGCCAAGTATAAAAGATTGTTTTGTGTAAGTTGTATAAAATAAATTATTTTCAAGCAATTCTCTTGAATTTTGGATTATTTATTCGTATACGTATAAGTACATTATAAAATTGATTGAATATGCATATTAATAAATTGTATCTTGTTTTTAGTAATACTAAGCTATACTACAGATGATTTATAATAATTTATACGTGATACACCAAAAAATATGAAAACATTCACATATGTTTATATATCGTATATCATTTTAGGAAGACCGGCCATATCACAATTTATTTTAGTAACTAAATAGTAAATCACCTTACCAAGAATGTACATGGCAAACAAGGCTGAAACCCATAACAAAAAAAAAAAAAAAATGTCCGCTGTGGTAGACATATCTTCTCATCTCCTGCCATAAATACGCTTTGCTTGTAACTCATCATAATAACATTCAGGTCAAGCGGAAAAGAGACTTAATCTCATCACTATACATATTGTACTTATACCTATTACACACGGTATCGCGGTCTGTAAGTACATCGATGTGTGCTGAGACGCAATCGTTATTATTGTTGTCGCTACTCACTATAATAGAGCCATAGAATAATATTATAATAGGTAAATGCTTTTGATTATTTTCGCAACAAATATGTATATAGTATGTTTACTATCTTACATACCTATGAATCGTAGCAAACACAACAATTTAAAACGGTCAAATTCGTAATTGACTTCATAACACCTACTATAATATTACAACAATGATATAATACAACGACAAAGAGGCAACAGTGCGTTTTTTATATATATAATATATATTTAATATAATTATATTAAAGAGACGGCAATAAACCGTACACAAACGGTACCGCCGGTAGGGTTATTTATAAGTGCGCGTATGACCGCGCTATAATATATAACACTGCTAGCGACGAAAAAAAAATTCTCCTTACACGCGTATTATTATTATATGCATTGGTCGTCCGAGCGAAAACGGTGTTTCGTATTTGTATATTATTATTTTTATACACTCTCTCGAAATAATATACTGCCGGCACGCGCGCCAACCGACCAACGGGAAACGGCATAGAGACCTCTCGCTCGCTCTGTATGTCGTTTGTGTGCCGTGTGCCAATGACACACACGTACGAACTGTGTGGCTAATAGACTACGGTCATCCCTTCACCGCGGGCGGCGATGCCAAATGGCCTGTGGGATCGTAGTCGGTCTGAAGGCACTATATGGTCGCAACGCTCCAACGATATCGAGACTGCGCCAGGGGCGTCTTTACATCCATTTGTAGGGAGGGGACACAAAAACTAAAAGTTTGAAATCGGTATTTGCACGTACAGTTTTAAATTGCTTATTAAAAAATATATGTATATCTGTCTTACTACACCTATGACCTAACACATATAGGTAGGTAACGTACGACAAAATAATTTATTATGTTTAGAATTCTCTACTTTTCTCTTGCTATTTTTTTAATACTATAGTCGAATTGACCTATAATCAAGTATACGGTTAAAAATATTATAACTCGACGTACTTTAAATTTAAAGCAATGTATTTTAATTTAAAAATCCTCATGAGATTCAAAATTATTTTAAAATTAAAATATCAAAAAACCTTTACACGGGTCCTTAAATAATATTTTTAACTTTATATTTTATGACAGGTCAAATTACTCTAATATTAAAAATAAAAACAGAGTTAAGTATCATATAATTCTGATTTAAAAATTTGAAATATGATAGGTAGACGTACAATACATCGTGTGGGTGCGGAAATTTTAAACACAACGCATATTATAAGACAAACAAGTTAATGTAATGTACATTTATCACAATGCAACCATTCAACTTATTATTAATAATTTAAGTGCATATTATATGCATTAAAAAATTCATATACAAAAAAATAATCTATTATTAATGATAAACATCCTATTTAGAAGATAACCCTGAGTACCATAAAAAATAAGCAGCATTTAATCGAAACTCTTGTTTGATTTTTTTTCTTTCATCATGTGACGATGTACTCAAATTTTATTATAATATACAATATTTTAATACCTACATATTTTCGAATTCCGTGATATTGTGATATAGCAAGGGTGTTTGATTGCGTTCCTATTATTATTGGTGGGAGAGAGAAAGAGAAAGAGAGAGGTAAATTTTTAATTTTTCAAAATATACATTTTATAAAATCACTCAATTCGATAGATACCTTACTATCTATCTGTTAAAATTACGTTAAAAACATTTTAATTCTTAACAAACGAATGACCATGGGTTAGGTTAATATAAGTATTAAATGACGGAACATTTTTAAGTTACACTGTTGAATATAATTCGATATCAATGATATTATAAAACCTTATAATCATAAAATAACGAAGCCGATGCAACGCTAAACCCAGCTGTCCATCGTAATAGTATGTGCAGTGGTGTGTTTATCGCAGGATAATGAATGGATCACAATATAACCGTTTGAGAACGAGTCTTGATTTTCTTATGTGTATCTATATTTTATCGTTGTATATTTATTCTATCTATAGCAGTATTAAATTGTCATATCAGTATTAAAAATAAAATAAAAATTAATAAAAAAGCGGAATAAAAAAATTTCAAAAAAGTTGATTAATGTTGGGCGTAAAACGTTCCTCTTCCGTTATAACGCGTAGGAGTTGTATTAAAAACTATAAATCATCCCCTCCGGCTGCCACCATTAGTTGTGCTTCAGATGGGTCACTATATGTCGTCCACCGGGACGATCGAAACGATTATTATGATGTGGTATATTTTATTTACTTACTTATATAGTTATATGAAATAGACTTACATCAATAGCTCAACAAATAGTTACCAGTATTAAAACGTATTATCCAATAGACAGTTTAACATAAAAAGTAATACAGACAAGGCGAGTAAATGAATAGAAAAATTTAGTAAAAATAAATATAAAAAAAAAATTAAAAATGTAATGAAGTAGCGTCGGTACTGACAATCGACATAAGACATTGTGTAGGTGTATTAAGTCTATAATTAATTGGTCGATCGGAAGGAATAGAAAAAGTTTTAGTTGAATGGGTTTTCGGACAATCGATTTACTGTCCGCCACTTTGTTGGCCCACGCACACGCCCACGCTCATAATATTACGTTATATAATTATAAATACTATATATATAACACTACACTCGTTTAATACGTCTAGTGTCGATGAGGTGTAGTGAAATTAGGGCAACAGCTGATCGGATTTTATTCGCGTGGATCCGGCGCGCAAGCGCCCAAGGGTTAGGGATAGCGCCTGCGTATCCACGTCTGATAACCCGTCCAGCCGGGAGAAAATGGGGAAGAGTGGAAAAAAAAAATCGCAATCAATGATCGTCACATCTGCCGTCTTCCAGACGGGCCGTCGCGTTACGCTTTCTGTTTTATTATTTTTTTTTTTTTTTTTTCCCCATATCATTCGCACCGTTCCAACACAGTGTTCTGCCTGTCAGGTACGGTGGTGATCGGTCGGCGTGCGAAACGATTTTAATAATAATATCATAATCCGCTCGGCGAGTGCAATCCGACACCCGCGCGCGCGCGCGCGTGTCGGCCAGCCACAGCAGCCACAGCCGCCGCCGCCGCCGTGCCGACTACGCGACCGTCGACGCACGTCGTTACGTCGCGCGCTCCGATCACGCAGTAACCGCCAGTAACGCCAGTAACAAACGACGCGACGATTCGGACGGACGGTCGGATCAATAACACCGGGCGGTTAGCGTACCGCCGCACACCACAATAACCGCGGTCGTCGTTGTCGACCGTTGTTTTTCGTCGCGTAGCGTATCGCCGTCCGCTGACCTGCTCCGCCCTCTCCTAGCAACTCCCCTACCATACATAATAATAATAATAATAATAGTGAGAAAATTATCGATAATATATTCGTTCCGCCGGCCCGCCGCCGTATCTTTTCCGCGTCTTATCATGACTGCTGTTACGTCGGCGACGACGTTACGCAGCCGTCTCGATACCGTCACTGTTGTCATTATTACCAGCGACGTCGGTCATACGTCGGTCGTGACTGCCCAACGGCCGTCTCACTGAGCGTGTCTCCGCGACTACCGGACCCTCAGACCAACAGCTGCCCGCGGTTGGGCTGTAAGTATTAAAATATAATAAGACAAAATTATTTACTAAACCCGCCCCGATCTGCCTCCGTCACCCGCCCTCTGCCTGCAGTCGGGACACTCCGATTTTTGATTTATGATTTATATATGCCCAACAACGATCATTCCGCCGTTCGGTGTTGCACTACGACGACCATAGTCCGATCTATAATATTACACGATTTTGATTACAGAATAGTTCGACTGGGTCGTGTGCACACCGCTGGTGAATTTTGTGCAGAGTAGTTGGATATTTCGATTTATTAGTAGTGTGGTAGTGGAATCTTTAGGTGGTAGCTTGCTGCATTCCAACCCATTCCCGAGTACCGAGCATACCCTGTTTCACTGGCTTAAGTTCCAAAAGGTTGCTGTTTGTTACTGCGTAGTCAGTAAACAAACGGCTGTTATATTTGCTCACGGAATCACGTAGATTTATGATATAAAATGGTATTTCTCGGGAAGATTTTAATTAAATATGACTAGGTATGTATAGTATTTAATATGTACCTAATTAACAATAATCTATGTTCACAATTGCTCTTATGAATTTAGTACTGCAATGCTTTAATCATTCTTAAAGGTTAAAAACTTTTATTTACTTAGTTTTTTTAAGCAATTAATGATTTATCTATTTAGCCTGATTTTTTATACTCATATAATATATTTATTTTTATAGATTGTGGCTTTGTTAAGGCAAAGTCTTGTATTAGGTTTTTAGGTACTTAAAAAAAAAAAATTTAAATATTTTGGTTACGTTTAATTGTATTCGACCAGACTAAAAGATAGCAATCAATTGATGTAGAAATTAGTTTTCAACTATCCAATTTGTTTAATATCTATACTTACGTTATTAATGGTTTATCTTTCCTAAATTTCCATACTAATACACAAGGCTGAGCATTAACTAATCATAAGTTAAAATTAAATTAAAACATTATGTTAATTTTAATTAAGTTGATTAACTCAATAATTTTTTTCAAATCAACTTATAGCTTAATAAGTTACTTTTTATGTTAACTTCAAGTTAGTTTTATTCAAAAGCATCTAAATTAAGTTAATTTTCGCCCAAAAAGTTAATACAAATTTTTGAATGAGATTTTAGAATTTATATTAAAAAAATAGGTTTTTTTGATAGCTAGTTGATACTTTGATGTATCATTTTTAAATTTCCTAGTAATTTTCTTAAGCGTAAAAAAAACTATCTAATAAACAATATTGTGTCTGGGATTTTTTATTTTTGCAAATTAAAAATTTTTAATTTTAAACTAAATTAAGTTATTTATTTTTCAAATTAACATTTAACAGGACGAGTTAATGATAAAAGTGTGAATAACTTTTAATTTAACTTTATTATTTTAAAATAACTTAACGAGTTTAAAAAAAAAATCGTTAATTTGCCCAGCCTTGCCAACACATATAGTTATATAATATTTTTTAATCTAGAATAAGGCTGAGTCACAATACTTGTTGTTCACAATGATATTTTTTTAGACATTGACTGCTACTCCAATTTAATAATTTTGTGGTATATGTATTAAATAACAAATGTATTACGTCAATAGTGGTAGGTCTTGTACAAGTAAATCAAACCATATATCCTAAGAATCTACAAAAATAATAAATGTTGGGATTAAACATCTAAATAATAGGTAGTTACACTTTTTTTGATTTAAGTTATATGTATATAATAAATAAAGAAAAATTTTTTTTTATTTATGTGATTTTATAAAAAAAAAAAAATATTTATTTTACTTTTGAACCTGTATAATATATAATTGATATTTAATACATTTTGCTGTAAATAAATATTAAATTATCATTATTATTTAGTGTATAACTTCAAAAATAATGTTATTCCAAGTAATAATTTGAAATTGTCATGAGATCAATTTCCTTAATATTAAACAAATTATATTTAAAATTAATTTTATGGTCAACCTATCAAAATTACAAAACAACTTTTCTTTCAAATTCTATATTATTATTATAGTTTTAAATTATAAACCTATATGTATAATATTTATCTTTTATGAGGAATTAAAAGAGATTAAACATATTTATGTATAATTAATTTAAATAATTCATTAATGATAGATTAGTATATTTTTAATGTTTAATTTATCTTAACTCCAAGTATCTAGTTTTTTTTTTTATCAAATCATATTATGTACTATTTTTAAAAAACAATTAATTGTTGATACTAAGTGAATTAAAATAAATGATCTTTATTAAATTACTTGAGTAATTAATGACAATACATATTAGTTTCAGAGATTTATTTTTGACAATTAAGATAAATATTACATTTTAGGTACCTATCGAGTGTCTACAAACAAATTATTGAATTGAACATAAAATTTATACTAAAAATAAGTGTTTAGTACTTCATTAATCTGTTCAGTCATTTAATTATATTTTAGGTGTGTCGTATATATTTTTAAATGATTTGGTTTTATTTTTGGTTGAACTAAAATTCAATACATTTGCCCTATTGACCCCACATTGTCGCCAATCAACTTCTATAAGTACTTATTCTTTTTTTTATGACATTCTTTATAACATAGTTATACTCCAAATAGTATACTAATAAATTACCCTATTTTTTTTAAGCTCAATATCATAGAAATCCTAGAAATTTTGTGAAACCAATCTTAAGAAATAACAACTTTTTGCAATATTTATCTTTTCACAGTTATCAAATATCGTATTTATTTGTCGTATTATTATAGACATCTTGTATTTCATTGCAATAAAAGTATTTGTGAGATGAATCTAGTATTAATATATGTTGATATCAGTTATACCAGTATTCTTAAATTACCTACTATTATGTAATAAATAATTATATGTACGTTATTATTATTTTTGTCACTCTTATTGATTTATAATCTGATAATGTGATTAACAAACAAATGCAATATGTTACAAATTACAATAACACATTAATTATCAATTATAAATTAACTACTAAATTAACATATAAATATCTCTGCATGAATATGTTTTGTACATCTAATTATTTTCTTCATTCTTATTTTTGAAGAGGTTATTCTTATAGAGTACTTGTGAGTATACTAAATATTAATATTTAACATTATATTAACATAATATAATAGTGTAAATAACCTTACACATTTATACACATTTTTTACTTCTGTTATTTTTTATATCTATGTACACATTAATAATTAAAGATTGAACTATTTCATTCTTCATTAATTATATTTTCTTTTATTCTAATATTGTGCCATAATAAAAAGGTAATATAATATAATAAACAATAATTTATCTTCCTCGTTTTGGAGTTTCAAGTTTTTAGGTACCTATATAACTATAATAAATTTAAAATTGATTATTTGATATCCTTCTAATTAACTGAAGACTTAAAACCATACATTATCTCATGTTTTAGACAAATAAATAAATAATACAAAGTTTTTTGTTATTATACATAAATGCTTAGTACTTTTTTTTTTTTAGTTGTGGACATTTATGTACATAATTAATAATGTTTTATTAATGAATTTATAATAATATTAAATTAATTAAATTAAAATTGTTGACAATATCTGAGAATAAAAAGTCTTAAATATTGTAATTGGAAGGAAAAAGAATGTTTAGAGTTATTATATTTGTATAAATTACGAGCAATATAATTTAAAGCTTTAGAATATTTTTAAAAATGTATTACTTATTTTATTTGATAAATTAATTTTAAGATCAACATTTAATGGTGCATACTATTTTAAATAAAAATATAAATAATGTTTAAAAGTTGAAAATTTGATATATTATCCATAAAGTCAATTTGAATTTTCATCAATTGTATATTTTGTTACATTATTTATGGAATCATGTACAAATCATTTGTATTTTTAAACAAATGTAACTTGATACCATTTTTTTTTAACCTTGTGTAATTATTATATTTTTGTCTCTTTCAGTAATGACCAAATATCATTGGTAAAACAGCAAATAACAAATCATAGTGTAACTTGAGTATATATAAGTAAAGATGTCTTCAGAAGATCTGTTACAACCAGGACATATAGTAAAAGAAAGGTGGAAAGTTGTAAGTAAACATTTTGTCTCCCACTTATCTTCTGTCTCTATTTATAATTTTCATTGTCCATCTTGTCAACACTTCTCTATGGTTTTTTATTCTAAATATTGTTGGTATCATTTTTTTTTTATATATATAATTCAAACTAGAAATTTATTTTAACACAGTTACACAAAACAAACTTAAAATTTAATAAACTAATATAATAAACTAATGTACAATGATTAATTTTACCATAATAAATATTTATTTATGTATATAATGTGTATGGAAATTTTTTTTTATTTTTTCATAAAGAATTAAATATGAAAAAAAAACAGTTATGTATATTAATATACATAATTGATATTTTTAATAACTTGATTAATTTTCTAAATTAATTGTCTTTCAAATAAATGGTTTTGTTTTAAATTTGTGATTAACCAAATTATTTACGTTTATTACAGTATACCTAATGCATTTTATAATTATATATCAAAATGATTATTACTGCAATAAAATCTAAAAATAATAAAAGTATTAAACTAAACTATATTTAAAATTTATATATATTTATATATATATGTATTTAATATACTTATAAAACATTAATTAAAGTAATAAATTAAAAATATGAATATTGTTAAAAAAATCTTAGAATTATGTAGAATTGTTGATAAAATTTTACTATTTAAATATTTAAGCAATACTGACGTATTTCAATTTTGGACAAAGTCCAAATTATTGTTATAGTTTCTCCTTCATTATAGAAAACATTTATATGAAGATAGTATAATAGTCTGTTTGTGTCAACAATTCTTATTTTATAATAATTTATGTATCATTTCATCATTTATTTTTAAAATATTTATCTTCTTAAATAATTCTCGCGATAATCAAGTACCATAATGAATAATTACTTATATCAATGTTGTATAAAATACTTTATCTATAAGAAATTTAACAATTAACAATCTTTAGTTTACAGTGTCCTAAATTATATTAAGTACTTTTAATAAAATATTTTTTTGTTGAAGTTTAACTACTTTTTAAATAAAATTATCATTGTATACATTTTTAAGCTTTATTGATTCCAATTATTATACTATAAACTACACATTTTTAGGCCAGAAAAATTGGCGGTGGTGGATTTGGAGAAATATATGAAGGTCAAGATCTTATCACAAAAGAACTTATAGCTTTGAAAGTAGAATCGGCTCGTCAACCTAAACAAGTCTTAAAAATGGAAGTAGCTGTGTTAAAAAAGTTACAAGGTAAATAAAAACTTATTTATTTATACTTATAATAAAAAGATTATCATACATCTGCAGGCAAATAAGTTTTATAAGTAATAGTGAATATTTATATATCAATTGTTCATACATTTTATGAATGAAAAAAAAAATGATTTTATCATCTAATGTATCAGTTAATATCGACCAACGCTTATTTGTAACTATCAAATTTGCTATATATACAATATATATATATATTTTTTAAATAAATAAAAAAATTATATTGTAATAATTATACTCATATGTTTGTATGTTATTTTGATTGTGATAATGTTTTTATAATTACCTTTGTAGTAGCAGCTAACAACAATAATTGTAGGGGGTCTTTTAGATTATATAATAACAAGGGTTAGAGTTAGAGACTTATAACACCATAAAAAACTAAATATACACTATTATATATTCATGTGCAATAAAAGTTACAAAATAGGTAAAAAATTCTTTATTTTTAAAAGATATGAATAAAAAAAAAATATTTAGTAAAAATTGTAAAATGTAGAAATATTAAAAACAATTTTAAGTCTTAGAATTTATACTATTTATAGCTGAAAAATATGATCAAATATCAAATAAATAATATTATGAGTTATTTGTAATTTAATGAGTTTTAATGAATTAATGATTTATAAAGAACCCTTTTAAAAATGATAGATTAATATTTTTTTGCTTAAACTGATTTCAACTTTGCTCATATTACTTTTCTAAATACATTCTTAATATATTTAGAAATATATATATTTTCAATTATTTTAATTGAGTTAAATAGTAGCAAAACCTGTTTTTCAATTTTGTTAGAAAGTAGTAATTGAAAAAAAAATTTATGTTATTGTAAGAAAGATTATCTATTTCATTTTATTAATGAAAATGTCATGATTTAGGTAAAGAGCACGTATGTCGTTTTATTGGCTGTGGAAGAAATGAACGATTTAATTATGTGGTAATGCAGTTACAAGGAAAAAATTTAGCAGAGCTGAGAAGAGCACAGCCAAGAGGTGCTTTTTCATTATCTACTACTTTAAGATTAGGTGTACAGATTTTAAAAGCCATAGAAAGTATTCATGAAGTTGGATTTTTACACAGAGATATAAAACCTGTAAGATTACTTTAAAAACTATTAAAAGATTATTTTTTTAATTTAATTATTGTTTGATTTTTTTTTTCATTTATTTAGTCAAATTTTGCTATTGGAAGACTTTATCAAAATTCCCGTTGTGTTTACATGTTGGATTATGGTCTTGCTAGACAATTCACAACAGCTAATGGGGAAGTACGAACTCCTAGAACTGCAGCTGGTTTTCGTGGTACCGTAAGATATGCTTCATTGAATGCCCATAAAAATAAAGTAAGTTGTACCTATTAAAGTAAATTACAAAATTACATTCATAAAACAAAATATTTGTTAAAATAATGTATGCAATATACACTGCTTAATCCAATACTGGAGGTATTTTCAGTATATTTGGTTTTTAGTATACCAAAAAATATGCTTATTTTGTCCAGCAAAAAGATGTGAAAATTTCACGAATTCCCATGTAATATCCCATTATATTCAAACCGATATTGATGGCAGGGATGCATTAAAAAATAATTTTCATAGTATGCAAATTTTTTAGTATACTAAAAACCAGATATACTGAAAATACCATCAGTGTTCAATGAACCATAATAATAATATTCATAACCTTATAATAAAAATAATTATTTTTTTTTTTTGTTTTGTTTATAGAAAATGTATATAAAAATATCCAAATATTTTACTTAAAAAAATTATAATTTTAAATTCCTAGCACTATTTTTTTTTTGTTTAGGAAATGGGAAGACATGATGATCTTTGGTCGTTATTTTATATGTTGGCGGAATTTGTAAATGGTCAGTTACCTTGGCGGAAGATTAAAGATAAAGAGCAAGTTGGTGTTATGAAAGAAAATTATGATCATCGCTCACTTCTTAAACATCTTCCATCAGATCTGCGTCAGTTTCTTGAGCATATTCAGGTAAAAGTTTTGATTTATTTAAAAAAAATTATTGAATAAAGGTAATTTATTTAATGTTATTTAATTTTTAAATCTAAATTCTATGTTTGCTATTTATTTTCCAACTACTGAAATTTTTATTGATAAAAAGAATTGTAGAACTATATTAAACTAGAAGATATTATGAATAAGAATTAATTTCACAACTCTAAATATAATCCTAATTCTAGGAACGAATGTACAGTTGATAGTTAAATAAATCCTTGAAACATGTACTTTCATAAAAAAAATGATAAAAGCCTTGTCACTAAGTATACAAAATTAATAACATTTTAACTCATTTTTTTCTCTATTAGTCTCTTGAATATGCAGACAAACCAGATTATAATATGTTAACGGGTCTTTTTGAACGATGTATGAAAAGGCGTGGTGTTAAAGAATGTGATCAATTCGATTGGGAGAAAACTACTGAAACTGTTCAACCAGCAGTTACAGTTAGTGTTATTACAAATAATACCACACCAGTTATCTCCAGGCCAATCACTTGTACCTCCTATGGTGCAGACATTAACAATCAACTAGTCACATCTACTGTAGATAACGGACAAGAGGAAGAACCAGACAATAAAAAAATTACTCCAGAGGTAAATATTTTTTATTTAATCAGTAATTATAATTATAACTGTTATAATTTTTTTTTTTTTTTACAGGAGCAAATACAATGTGATAATAATATAATTTACCGGCGTGCCCAAAAACTTGAATCTGATGCAAATAATTCAGGTTCTAATAAAATTATTTCTACTGATAAAAATTGTAATGCTACATCTAGCACACCATTAGATCATTTACCAATTCCAAAAAGTATTAATTTTTTGCTTATAAATAATTTATTTATATAATTATAATTTTTTTTTTTATATTTATTGTAGGCTCTCCTAAGAAAGTAGTTCAGCGAAGAGCTGTTTCTATGCCTGGTTTGGAAAGAGAAACAGAAATATTGGAAGCTTCTAAGCGTAATTCTTCTCAAACTAATTGTACGGTTGATTCTGGTTTCCCACCAACACCATTAAATATTGAAGGTGTTCCTAATTCAGATCTGGGTAATTTGAACACTTCAGTTATTGCAACCCAAGAAGCTAATAAAGGTAAAATTTTAATTTGAAAAAAAAAACTACAATAACAATATTTTATATTTTAATTTTGTTTTAGTTACAACTGCTAGTTCTCCTCTAGTTGAAGCAGATAGTATTGTAAATCAAATAAAAAAAGAACAGCGTAGCTTACATTTTGCTAGGCGACAAGCCACTCCTAATAGGCAAATCTTAAAATCTTCTGCCACTACTGCCAGAGATGTCACGTATACTCAATTTGCAGTAATTGATGATGATAACGTATCTGCAATGCAACAAATGACACGTGGTGGAGGAGGTACTTTTCATTTCACAATATTATTAAATGTTAATTATTGTTATGCAATATGACACATTAAACTTAAAATATTTTTATTTAGGGTTAACTCTTATGTCACAATGGAAATCGCAATTTGACGACTCTGAAGAAACTGATAACGAGTGGAAAGCAGAAAATCTTCAAAGTCCTGAACATAGATTAAGTTTACATGGTGTCTCTTTGGTATGTATTTTCACCTAGTAATGTAACATTTTTTTCTAGTTAATTAATAATTTTTAAATTGTATTTATATACAGAGTGGAAAAGATAATATTTGTTCTCAATACCCTAACAATTGTAAGACACCAGATAAAATATCTGGTAATGCACAATGTTTTTCAAAATGTACTGATAATCTAATAAATAATTCAGTCTTATCACGAGCTTGGAGTGAAATACAAATTGCTGCAAAAATAAGGTAAGTTTACATAAAAACAAATTTTAAACCGTCTCAACTTTTAATTTTTTTTTTTTTATTAAAATATATGTCTTTAACTAGAACAAACCTTGAACCACCCTGGTTACAAGAAGCTGTCTTTGATGATATTGTGTATGAACTTGATACAAGTAGAAATATAGCTGTAAGGAACTCTGAAAAAAGTATTACAAAGAAATTACAAAGATCTATTAGTCTAGCTGTAAGTTTACTCAGTAGCATGTGCCAAGCTTGATGTTATAGTGGCAAAAAATAAAGTTTGTATTTGTTTGTGGTTTATAGAATATTAGTTTGAGCATTATTCCTAAAAAAGAATTTCAAACTCAATTCATACAACAAACAAAAATGAAATTAAAAGTTCCTTCTCTTCAAGTTACCACTAACACAACCAGATCTTCCAATGATGGTGATGAATTATCGGGAAAATTATTTGCCGATGAATCACTAAAAAATGGTGAGTGTCATAAATGTTCTTCCCAAATTTAGGAAATGTTCAGTTTAAAAAAATTCTTTTTTTTAATCAAAAATAAATATCAACATTTTAAATTTCTATTATTAGTGTATAAATATTTATTTTTAGTAGTTATAAATGAAATATATTTTAATATTTTACTTTTAATTTACTTATTAGGTTTAATAATGGAATATAAATTTCTACTATTTTTCAAAATTTTCTTTAACTTATTTTAATAAGAATCATGACAAAAATTAATTAAAATTAAATGTTTTTCTTTGTTAAATGGTAGGTAGTTTATTTTTATGAAGTATTATTTACCAAATCATTTTTTAGTATCATGTTAATAATTTCTTTTGATTTCTTTTACTTTCTAAAGTATACAAACTATTTTAGTATTTCTAATTTATAGAATTCCTACATGATATTTGGAATACCAATGTTGTTATGTAAAGGACATTTCTTTTGGCATAAAAATATAATTTTATTTTTATAATACATCCTTCGGTCAATTTAAAATCATGTGTATAAATTACGGCATACATAGGGAATGATGTATCTGAAAATTGCCCAATGGAAACAGTATCTGGAAAATTGGAAATAAGAGTCGTTGATCGGCATCTGAATGATAATGATAATTACTGTGACACAACAAGCTCAAAACCAATTGTGTTTACCGAGAAAGATGACGAAGGTCCGTTCTAACAATTGAAAGTCAATAACAAATACTTATAACAATTTATATTTGATTTTAATATGTTGTATTTTATCATATTCTAATGTTTTATTAATATTGTTATGAAATGAGTTTTGTCTAATAAATTTAACACCATAATATGTTTGGACATTAAAATTGTTTTTATGCCATAATTAACTGTATTTTAGTTTAAATTTAGTAGAAGCTTATGCAACAACTATACAAAACTAAAAAAATTAAACTTTTGTTTGTTTACAGCTCACCGAAAATGGGCTAGAAACAGAAATAGTAGCGATATTATGAACATAAATGGGAAACATTTTGATGAAAACGAATTATCTAACATTAGTATAAAATCTTTTTCCTCTTCCGATCAAAATAACAAAATCTCAGATCATAGCAGGTATATAAAAATTAATTTTAAAAAAAACCTGCAAATATTGGGTTAACTGAGTAGTTATGTTTTAATATTAATTTAATATTAATGTTTACAAATACTTATATTCGTTTAATTTTTTATTTTACTTTATCAATTAATTCTTATTTTTTTTACAATTCATTTTATTTTGTACTCATACTACTTATTATTTATAAAAGTAATTAAAAATTCAAATACTTTTGATATATCTTAGTTAACTGATGAAATATTTATAAAACTCAACCTTAAATATGTCATTCTAGAAGTAAAAAACCACCTCAACCCATAATTCTTAGCAAAAACAGTAAAATTCCACTACCCGTCAACCAAAAATTATCAGAATCAAATGAAATAAATTTGGCAATGTTCAGGTATACAATTTTTTTTTTTAACTTATGTTCAATATACATAACTAATTTTTTAACTGAAAAATTATTTATTTTTTTTAGTGATGAATCAAAATCAAGTGCGACCAGTAATAGTGGAAAACAATTATCTGAAGCACTTTTAAAGTGTCGTGGCCAAAATTTATCTACCGAAGTGCGTAGTAAACCACCGACTTCTGAAGAAATTGATGATCAATATACTCCTGGTCTTAGAAGGCGGCGACAACTTCAAGATAAATATGTAACTGACCCTTCTCAATTAAATTTACGATTTCAAAGGCCTCAAATGCGAAAGTCAAGGGAATCTTATTATAGATCTAGGTAAATTTTAAATAATCATTGAGTAAAGAATTATTTTTAATTTTTTTACTTTATAATATAACAATTAAATACTTTTTAAATTTGTTAAAATGTACTTTTTTAATAATTTTGAAAAAATTACTTATCTTTGAATTATTTTTATTTTTGTATTTTAAATTTTATTAATGTTTATTTTATTATACTATATTATATGCTAGCCATTTTATTATTATTTATTTGTTTTAGTTCATAATATTTAAATGTTAAACAATAAATGACTAATTCTATTATTTTATATTTCTGTAGATTTTCTGGTAGTCAAGATGACAATACTGGATTATTTTCAAATTACAGACCTGTATCTGGGTCATCAAGTAGAAGTCTTGAACGAAATTATGAGTCTGATATTTTATCATCTCCTACCTTGATACCTCCACCAAGTATGTATTCGTCGGATGTCCAAACTCTTGTCGAAAATAATGCTAGGTACGTCAAATAATTTATTTCCTTATTTTTTTGTAATGTAGGTATGCATTAAAATATTAATTATTCTTACAGATGTCGTCGGTACCAAATTTTTAAACCAACTGAGCTTGCAAGGGATTAAAATAGTATATCATAAATTAATAGATTATATTATTATATTCATTTTTATTGAAAATATATGTAATATTTTCAGTGTATTTGAATAATTAGTGTAAACTTTTAATCTCGCATAAAATGTATTTATGAATCGTATATTGTATTTTATTTATTTTGACGTAATTATTTAATATTATGTTTTTTTTTAAATTATTATTATTATTATTATTATTTAAGAGATGCCAATTGAGTTTTTAAATTCAAATCCAAAAAAGACCAAATTTTCTCTGTGGCTTATTTTCATACTACAATTTTCCATTTTACTCAGTTGAATTACTTTCTTTAACTTCCTATTTTTCTAAACTTAAATTTAGTTTAACCACAGTTCTTAAACTTTTTTTTACTTGATATTTATAAATTATACAACCATGAAACAAAATGTAAAATAATAATTAATTATTTAAATGTAATTTAATATTAACAGTACTCTATTGTATTAGTGTCTTAAATTTAAATCTATATACATTATACATATATCATTGAAAATAACATTAATCTGATGTAATAATCGTACATCTTTTATTTAATTTATTCAAATTTTTAAGTTAAATATTGTTTATGGTATTTATAATTTAGTTTAAAGTCTAAATTGCTGTATCTTCGCCATTACATTTCATTGGTACTTTTTGTGCGTTGTAAACAGTTTTAATTTGTTTTTTAAATCTAAAACAGCTTTATGTCTTGTGTTCATTTGTTTATTTATTTAGTACATACATAATTTATTTAAATATTGTCAACAACCCCTAAAGGCTGTGATAAAAGTAGTATTCTAAGGTTTTTTACCTGCTCTATAAAAACTTCAAATGACGCACGTTGATAACATATTTTTGTTTATTCACATTTGTTTTTGGAAAAAATTTTAGCTCTAAATTTAAAAGATCTCTTTGACCTGTTTGTGTACCTACTAATAAGTTAATACATAGATAACCTATTTAAAAGCAGCTCCTATAAACGCACTATTGTCAAGTTCCTAATTGTTACTCGACCTTTCATTAATATCTGTCAGTACCTATTATGCTACTAAATAAGGACGTCAAACTCGTTAATCAAATTATTGGTTACTAAAGTATTTATATATATTTTTTTTAAATTTAATAATAAATTTATACAAAAATAATAAATATGGTTAAACACATTATTATAATATTTGGATATTTGTATTACAATTGAATAAACTTTTTGTTAGATGTATGTTAAATAGAATATAATTGTTAAAAAATTATTGGTTAAAAAGACTGAATGTTATTAATATTCAAATAAAAAATTGGATTAATGTAATTCACAACTTCACAAACCATTAGCTAGTTCTATTCAAAATAAAACAAAAAAAGATTTAAATAACCAATAAGATTTGAATTTTGAGTTTGACAATCTTGTTTTACAGTCTTTAATTGTATAGCTAAAATTTGTAATAGTTAATTGTATTCTTAGATTCATACCACTTTTAGAAATATTTATACAATGATGTATGTGTAATTCATACACAATTACACTATCGAAAACTATTTGCGATTATTAATTATGTTATTAATTTTTGTTTTTTTCTATTTCTTGTAAGACGTAATATTGTATAATTACCAAAAACCTAGTCATTTTTATTAAACAAATTTAGTAATTTATTGTGTCACTGTGGTGCTTCTAATCAACTCTAGTTAGAATTTTTTTTTTTTTTTTTTTTTTAATTTTAACTAATAGTTACAATTAAGTTTAGGGAATAATTAATTATCTATCACAAATTTTTGCAAGTTTTATTTTTTATATTTTTATTTATTTAGCTTAATTTAATAAAAAATACATTACATTATTATTGAAATGTAATTAAAAATATTCAAATTACATTAATTGTACTGTTTAAATGTAAGTTACTAGCAGTTGACTGACGAATCATTAATGTATTTTTCTTTAATTTATTGAAATGTTATTAAGAGCTTGGAGACTATTATTATTTATCTTTTTTTGTGTTTGCTTAAATAGTAATTTTCAAACTAGTAGTTTTGCACTAGGTTTACTCAAATATAATTCACAGAATATTGTTTTTGTGATTTTTCTCTCATGTCATATAGAACATTTATGAAAATAAATACACTTACATTATATTAAAATTATAATATTTATATGTATTATTTTAATATTACCTTATATAAAAATTATGTACATGAACACATATGTTTTTTAAATGCATTGTGTCTAGCTTTATTATTTTAAGTGGTTACATTTTTATTTTTTTCAATAAATAAAGTAGCCAAATATTCTTTAGACTTTATGCAGTTATTATTCTTTTTCGATAAAAACCTTAATTTTTTCTATGAATTATTAGTTTTGTTTAGTAAGTATATTGTACAAGATAATTCAGGTTTACTTAAGACAAATTGGTTAATAAAGTTCTAAGTAAAAGATTCCAACATCACTATTATAACTTATTTTTTTATTTTATATCACAAATATACATATTCTGTAATCATATTTTAATTGTTGTATAAGAATAAATAATATAAATATTATTTTATATAAAATTAATGGACGGTTAATTCAATTAATTACAACATGGATAATAAATATGAAGTACATGTGATGTATATTAATTAAATAACTAACATATTTTTTTTTTTTTAACAATTAAGACAAGATAATCGATTAGATAAATATAATCGATACATATATTAATTATTAAAACAATTTTAGAGGAACCTTTTGATGCATGTTATTTTAAGGATATAAATCGGTTACAAAGTATGAGACAAACCTTTTCTTTGGAGGGTACTGGTGATACATAGATTGCATACGCCATACATTAGTACTGTCCGTCATATCTTTGGAATAGCCATCAGAAGATGGCTGTTGAAGAGGTTGAGTAGACGGATTAGTGTTAGCTGGAGATTCGTTGGATTTAGATTTTTCTGATCCTGGAGTGGTTTGTGATGGACTGTTTTTTTGATTATGTTTCAAAAAGCAATTTAATTTGGGTGGTAACTTACTTAATGGTATCTTGCATATCACAGATGGTTTTAAAGTCTTTTGGCTTTTTGAATCTTCAGGCATTTGTGGAATAACTGGTGTAGGAGATATAACACGTTCATTATCATTGGGCATTGCTTTGTTTTTATAAACTACAATAACCCCGCCTTTGACACCTTTTGATATTTCCCCGCTTTTGGCACCACCAGCTTTGCGTCGTGTTATAAACAGCTTCCTTAAAGTATCATTCTTATTCTTATCGTATACTTTAGTTCCTTCAACATCAATTTTGGGCGGACTTTCAGTAACTGTTGATATAGGTGGCGGACTAAATTCTACATCAGAGAAGTCTGAATCTGCGCTGCTTGAATTCGAACGTGTTGGACGCAGAACAGCTCTGACTCGAGCTACAGGTTTTTGTTTTTGGGTTTTTTCCCAAAATGGTGTTTTTTTTACTAAATAAGAAAAATTATTTTCAGTGTCTTTTATTCTACTCTTGCAGTCACTATCTGTCCGTTTTTCAGATTTACTGCTAGTTGTTATCACTTTTGAATTTTTACTATCTGGTGGTGGACTTCTTCGTTTTTCACTTATCTGTACTGGTTTAGGCGGTTCATCATCTTCTGTATCTGATGAGATCAAAGGTTTTGACTTGATTTTTGATAACGGAATAGGTTTTGCAATTTTTTTTGAACCCTTCTTTCGACCTCTTTTTTTCACGATCGGATCTTTAACTGATTCCTCTTTTTTAATTATCACTGGTGTTGATTTTTTCTCCACTGATTTAACAGGTTTTACAGAAGATTTTTTGAGATCCTTTTTCTTACTATTCATTATTGCTGAGTTTCTCTTGAATATGATCGATACTTGCTTAGATGATGTATGTGAACGAGTATTATAGGACAAATTACTCTCACAACTCCTGTCACGAGGCCTTTTCTTTTTATTATCTTTGTCTTTAGATGATAAAGATGAAGAAGATGATGAATTAGGTTTGCTTTTTTGTTTATCACTGTGTTTAGAGTTTGAGTCTGGCATTTTTGACAATTGTTTATCGACTTCAGATGGTTGTGTAGGAAAGTTTGGACTAGATTTAGGATCCGTCATTCCAGCAGATTCCTCCAGTTGTGATATCCTGGTCGTGTTGTTTGTGTCGGGTGTACTCTTTTTCAAAAAGTTTTTCATATACCACTTAGGTTTTTCTTCCTGTTCCTCCTGCGGGGGCGGCAAAACAGCCGCTGGCGGAACAGTTTCCCTCTTCTCGTCGTTGCTCTCGGTATCACTATAGCTTTTATCTGAACTGCTTTCCTAAATAAAAAAATGAATGTAAATAACAATATAATAAAACAAATGTATGGAACAATATTACCAAATTCAGCAGTGTTGGGCAAATAATTTCTAAAAAGTAATTAAGTTATTTTACTTGTTACTTAGATATAAATATAATAAAATTACATTACTCGTTACCTACTCAAATAAAATTGTAATGAAATTACTTGACTTTTCAAATAAAAAGTAACTATGTTACATTCTCGTTACAATTTTAATTTTTTTAATTTCTTAACAATTATCATTCTGCCAAGAAATAATGTAACTCGAAGTATATTACCTACAGTAAAAATCTATATTTTAAAAAGATGTACAAAAATAATGTGTACAGTTAATCATAAGTACATAACAATATTAATTACCTTTAACTATTAAAAAATAGTACTAATTAGTTGTACTTATTAATAGCAATTACTAATTAGATAATTATTAGGTATAACGGTAAATCCATACTATAGATAATCATGGAAACGTTCCATATAAGTACATATTTAGAGAAATCAAATTAAATAATAAATTTAATTAAGTGTTCCTTGATTTACGGTACAATAATTAGACATGTCAAAATCATAGTGGCGAATTAAAATTAAATATAATATATATATTAGATTGGTATACCTAATACAGTAATATTCGCTACCACATTATAGACATATTTTCAAAGTTTTTTTTTCACAATAGATAAAAAATAATCCTAAACTTAAATCAACCTTTTTACGCTTATGGTGCATTTCTTATAACTATACAGTTTGACGGAACACCATAGTAATAAAATAGTAAAAAGCAGAGAAAAAGGCATTTTTATTATTGTTATTATTATTATTTTTTATTATTAATATACTGTATAATTAAAAATTAATACCTAATAACAATATACGCATATACCACGGTTGCGGCACATCTACAGCCAGTTTGAAGCACACTTGTGTGCCGCAGAACACCGGTTGATGCATAATAGTAATAAAATAATAAAAAGCAAAAAAAAAAAGAGGAATTTTTATTTTTATAATTAATATACTGTATAATTAAAAATTAATACCTAATAAGTAATAACAATATACGCATATACCACGGTTGCGGCACATCTACAGCCAGTTTGAAGCACACTTGTGTGCCGCAGAACACCGGTTGATGCATAATGGTAATAAAATAATAAAAAGCAAAAAAAAAAAGAGGAATTTTTATTTTTATTATATTTTTTATTATTAATATATTATTTAATTAAAAATGAATACCTAATAACACGATACGTATGTACCACGGTCGCGGTATACCTACAGCCAGTTTGCGGCACACTCGTGTGCCACGGAGCACCTGTTGTAAAACACAACGGTTAAACTATAAAAATTAGTTATCAAATGTAATTTCCATTACATTCTCGTTACTTGGAAATAAATCAAAAGAAATTACGTAACGCGTTACACCGTTACGTTACTAGCTTGTTTAATTGTCCAGACTCGGCTGCAACAAAAACAAAAAAACTTAGTGGCGGGATAAAAACTGATGTTACTGCGTACGGCAGTTGCAAAAGAAATGTCACGAGACATGAAAAAAAAACGAACATGACCTAAATGATTCGGCGGCAGTGGACGAGCTACTGATGCGGCCGAACCCCAGTGTCACCAACATAACTATAGCAAAATAATAATAATATTAAGTAGCGCACAAATGTCTATATTATACTAGATAATGACCTCCGCTAATTTTGTAAAACCCAAATGTATAGTCTTGTGACAGAATAACCAGAAAAGACACTTTGAGCTCTCAAAATTTTGTTCAGTTTGTTGGAATATTAGATTATCCATTAATTTATCAAAAATGTAAAATTCTTTTTATCTAGTCACACTGATTTTCTAATGCTTACATACATTCCAACAGGTATTGCAAATCTGTACTCCATAAGAACCCGAAAACTCAAAAATGTCCTTCCTGGTATTTTGTGGTCTTATAGTTAATCCGCCATTTTTTTGGTTGACAAAATATTGTATTATTCGAATGTTAAATATTGTTTATTTACTATTTTGTAAGAATTAAATTTTTTTTCAATAAAATTTGTTACAAATTTTACTGCAAGTGTATAATAATAACTGTTTATTATTTCATTATTATTATAATTATATTGCCAGAATCTTATGTTGCCAGGAATATATTTACGCTTTTAGCACAATTTTTTCCCTAGAAAAAAAAATCGTCGGGGGCGGGGGTTGATCAATTTTTACATATCAGTGGTCAAAAAATAAAAAAGGTAGTTAGATAAAAAGTCTTGGCCTAATAAATCTTATTTTTTATTAATAATAATATTATTTTTCTAGCGAAGCGCCTCCTTAACAATTTGGCGCTCGGGGGCGATTACCTCCTTCGCTCCTGTATGTTGACTTAGGAAATTTAAAGATTTGAAACTGGAAAATCGATGCATTTTTTTCGGTTAATTTAATCGGGCTTATTGTTTATAAACACTTAATTATAAATATTTTCTCATAAATTTCCTATTCAAAATGAGGAATTTATTAAATTGTGGGTAAATGCTATTAATAAGAAAAATTTCAACCTAATTCAGTGAAGTCATATTTGTAGTGTGCATTTCACTGAGAATGATTTTCAAATTAGACCAGATGCTGACCGATTATTATTGAAACTGAATGCTGTACCTTGTTTCCTCCATTTCTTACTTATTATCAAAATTAAAATTAAAACCCAAGAACACCACTACTTTTAGAACTAATAAGATCCTTATTTCAATAGGTAGGTAACCTGTTCTATTTATTTTTCATAACTTACCTTTTAGATAAATCATAACATTTCAATTATTTCAACTCGTACTTCATTATTCCTGTGAACTTTAATATACTACCCTTAAGACTAGTGTTATTCAGGTGATAGTGTTCTGTGTAATATTATTGCTAATTAATCATATAATAAACCTCGTATACGTTAACAGTCCATGAACGCAGGTCATAAGTTTCTAGGACCTGTAAAATATAACTTGGAAAATTGTATTTGTATCGATTCAACAACCCGGTTCTCTAAGACTAATTCGTGTAGTGGGGATAGCTAACCGACTACTCTTTAACTGGATAGAATTAGATATAAATATCGACAACCACTTGATTTCAATAAACCGGATAAATGTGTTGCACCGTGAAGATTTAAGAAAAACAATACTCCACTTTTTATAGACCAGGACGAAAAATGCTAGATATCAGTTTTCGTAATATAAAAACTACCTAGTTCGGTATCTATAGTCTATTTGGAATAAGATCGTACCTCGGCGGTGGCTCATGCGCAGAAATCGGCCGCCGAGGTACGATCTTATTCCGAATAGACTATTATAGTATAATATAAACATCTGTGAAGTAGCGTTAGAGCACGAGCAATGTCATGGATAAAAGATATTACACTATGACCATTACTATGATGATAACCGTAAAAATTTAGATTTAGATTTACAATACTAAAATGCTATGTAATATGTATACCAATATTATACACATATATAATCTACTATCTTTTATAATCTATCAAAGTTCAATCAATTTTAAAACCGTTTAATAGTGATTAGAAACAAAAAAAAGATAACGACACATTTCTGCAAAGTGATAGTAAAAATGATTGTTTGGAAATATTTTCCAAATTGGTAATTGGGATAGTTTTATCATCAGAAAAACAATTTTAAATATGTCGGACTTAAGGACTCTAAGTTACATTAATTTTTGCAAAAACCTTGTAAATGAAAATATCATTACGAGTAAAAAACTTTGAAATATAATAATATACGTAAATAAGTATTATGTATCTAGAAGTGATTTCAGTGGGTGAAAGGGGCGCCTCCCCCCCCGTAAGTTGTGTTGTTTTATTTAGGAAAAAATAAAGATATTTCATTTCATAGTAAAACTAATACGTTTGGTATAAGAAGTAGTTTAAAGCGCAGGGGGGGATTAGGTTTATAGGCGGATGCAGTCAAAATAACGGGGAGGGGGTGAATATTAAAATTTATATAAACGTGTAAGTGTGTAAGTTTTACTATAAAATCAAAAACGCAAAAAAAAAAAAAAATTATTAAATAATATCTTTATTTTTTTTCTAAATAAAACACGGCTTACGGGAAGGGGCTGCCCCCCCACTGCTAAATTCGCCACTAGGTAAATTAGGTTAGCTGATGACTATAAATTATTTATTTTTAATATTCACCCTCCTTCCCACTCCGTTTTCCGTAGGATCTGTCTATGCATCTACCTATGAATAAAATGTTCTTGAATTATAATATACGAAAATGAATATTTTTATTCATAGTTTAAATACTATATAATTTTGTTTTATTTTGAACCTATAATTAATTTTATAAGAAATATCTAAAGAAATTTCCATGCCTTAAACATATAATATAATATAATATTGAATTATAAATTATAATTACTAAATTAGATTGTAGTTAAATAATTCAGTTACTTTAATGTTTTTACAAATAATAAATTTATATTTTATATCTTAAAAATAAACAGTAAGTTGTAATTTAAAAGTATATAATAGTTCATTTTAACGTAAAAATATTAATTTTAAAAATTAGTTGAAAATAATATTTACTTTTTTGTATAATTGACTTTGTTGAACTTTGGCAATATTTGAAGTTATAATTTATAATGCAATTGTGATAAGGAGTTAATGATGAAATTTTGTTGTAAAAGGTCCTTCCACAATAGTTCTATATCAATTAGAATAGTTAGATAATATTATATTCAGGGTTTTAGTTACGCCATTACTATTATAGTATAATATATATTTTTTAAATTTTAAAAACGTAGCAGAGAGTTAAAAGAGTTAATAGGTACAATCATTGGCGCAACTAAACATTTGAACAAGGGAGTGCTAAAACTCCAATTTTTTTTATATTACATTCCATTTCTATGTATATATTAAAATTGACTTACTTGATAATGATCAATAAACATCATGTTTTTGTTTATATCTCTAATTTAATGAAATTATCTATTATATTTGCAAGCTCTCAACTCTCTTTTGAAAACCATAATTCAAAGTGGCTTATAATTGTATCTAATATAACATAAAATGCATGAGAACACCAATATTTGTTTATCGTAATTTATTTTACCTTAATTATAGATATATTTTTCTTCAGCATCAGTTGTAATAGAAACATGATAGCTTTTAAGTTTAATAGATTCTTTTTGAATTCTTTTAGATGCAATAACACTTAAACAAATTAAAAATAATAATTCAATAAATTTCAAATATATTCCATACAATAATTATGTTTAGGAAATTAGGAATAAAATTATAAATCATATGATATATTTACATGACAATATTATATTTAATAACATTTTTACTAACCAGGTGTTTTAAATGAAACATCAATGTTATGTTTTACTGAAATATCTATTACTTATTCCATAAAACATCAAATGATTTTTCATTTTCCATATTATTTATTGTTTTTATCACAGTACTTATTTCAATAACAGTATTTCTAATTGTACTTTTTTTTTTTGTAATTTTTGACTCAAAATATTTATGATTCCTAAGACTTCTTCAAAATTTAACAAATATATAATACAAATAACATTTTCTTTAACATATGCAGAAGACCTTTTGAAAAATGTCTCATAAATATACTATACTTGTGTATTATATGTATATAAATATTAATATTAAAATACTTGTAATATATTACCAATTGCTTAAGTTACTTCTTTACTTGTATCTTCATTTATTTAATTTTATAAAACATTTATTATTATATCAAAACTATTATGTATTGCTTTACAATTTTTAAAACAACACAATCAACGCGTTTTACATAACGTAGAAATCTATAGTGATTTTATTTGCATCGATTTCTGCAAATCTCTTGTAATAGTTTATCTTTATTGGGTCGAGAAAAATGCATATAGACTGTTTCTAGAGCATTAAGAATAAGGTATTTGATTCCTGTAAAAGTAAATGATTATAAACAAGAATGAGTACATAATAACATAAATTGTAATGTAATAAAAATATTATAGTTAATATTATAGTTAATAAAAATGTATAAAATATAATGTAAGTATTTATTATTGTTTGTAATGCACCTTAATGGTTCTACAAGTATTTGTTACAAATTTCTTCAGATAAGATTCTATTATTCTAATTTGAACATCTGATGTGGATCCTGACATAACATTTTATGTTATATCATATTATGTTTGTGCCAGAAGAAGAATATCAGAAAAGCAGAATTTTTTTTAAATAGAAAAAATTTTAATAATAATATGTTTGGCTCCTCTACTATTTGATATATTATAATATCCAATAAATTGTTCACATTCACTATAACTATTAGGAATTATGTATCTAACACATAGTGATAATTGTTCTGTTTTATTAGATTTAATAAAAAAAAAAAAAATGTATGAAAATAAAATTATGTAAAAGTATATTAATATCTCATTTCTAAGTAATGAAGTATTATTACCTTACTTCATCACACGTAAACACATAGTGGAGTACACCCCAAAGTCATTTAGTTTTCTGATAGTATTTATTATCATATATGAACAAAATTTAATCATAATTCAACTTGTATAGTTAATTTTTCTGTAAAAAAAATCTAAAATTTCTTTAATGTTCTTGGCAAATAATGTACAAAGCTCTTTAAAATTTCCCGTTTTTATGATTTACAAACTATAATACTATAATAAATGGTAATAAAAAAAAACTTAGTATCTTCCTACCTGTATTGGAAACTGTTGATTACTTTTCATCATGACCTCTTAGAGCAAGTACCTGTTTAGCACAAAAGAGTGTTATATTTACAAAAATTTTCATGTATAGGTACTGTCTATTTTTTAAAATTTCATTTTTTTTTAGCAGTTGATAATTGAGTTATAATAGTACCAGTCAATTTTGAACTTTTATAACAACTATTATACATCATAGTTGATGTTAAATGTTGAACAGTTTTTGAATGTTTGAACAATTTTTCATTTAACTAAAATAATAAATTAAACTATAAAAGTAAAAAAACTATATGTACATAGTTTTTTATTAATTTAGTTATTTTACTTATATTTAATATGTTATTGTTATGTCTGTAACTTCTAAATAATATTATTTTTAAGTTATATAAATAAATATCAATACAAAAAATATAGTTTTCTCCAATAGTTGTATCCAGTTGTAATTAAATTTTAAATTTTTCAATTCTTTGCGAAACGGATGAAATTAAAACAAAAATAACATTTCAAGATACACAATATTCTAGCAATCCATGTTCACTACAACATAAAACATTAAAACTTTGAATCCGCATTCAAAATTTTGTTTCATTCTTATTATATTTAATGATTAATTATTTAATTTTTATTTACTTGAAGTTTAGGTTGCTTTGGGCCCAAATTAATATCACTCAAATCAACTGTTTGACTGTTTGTTCAAATTTAAAACATATTTTTTTGTCGAACGTTTACATCATCGTCATTATGTTCATCATGTTGTTCATGTTACATTTTGTTTGTTTTTGATTCATCGCTATGAGTTTCGACAGTTTCGTCTAAATTATTTTTTCGTATTGATGTATTTAGTTTTATTTTGTTTTTAACATTAAAAATCGAATACATAATTTAAGTTAATTCAACAATTTCTTTTTGTCAATTTAATTAGTACACAGTACACACTACATAGTATTAACACAGATAGTACGTAAACACTAAACAGTTAACGTACTGTAACGCACTGTAACCAGTGAAATTTAAGACTGTGCATTTAGCATTATATCATATCACTTGTATGCCAAACATCATCTTAACGAAAATATCTGTTTCTTGGGGAATACCCGAATACCAGATTATATTAGTATTTAGTATATAACTGATTGAAATATAACAGAATTATAAATATTATATAATATTATTGTAGTACAGAAAATTTAAAATAACTTGAGCGAAGCGGTAGTGCTTTCTTATTCTACTAAATTTAAATCAAAATTATAAATAATAAAATGTTTTATTATAAAAAATGTTATTGTGTTATAATTGTAATTCGAACAATTTTTTATGGAGTGCTAAAAACCCAAAGCATTCTCCCTAGTCGCGCTAGTAGGTAGTTAACGATACTTGAAAAATTACAAAAATTTATGAATTACAAATATTTTGTAATAAAAAATTTATAAATTCTTTAACTTTTATAGCTAGGGTTTGAAGATTTAATAAAATGTTTCTCATAAAGATTTAATAATGAAGCTAAAAAATCTAAAAAAAATTATAAATATAATTATTATTTTTTTTATAGATAATTTTAGTTAAAATTGTACTAAATTATGTATTTTATCATGCCCAATTAATACTTTCCAAGTGCCTGTTGAATAATTTTAAAATGTAACGCTTATTAACAGAATGAACTATGAAGATGTTTAAATATCTCACAGTAAACTTGGTGAAATAGTACCTATTATTGAATCGAAAAATAATATAATAATATACTCTAGTATAAATATATATTAAAATAATTAAATATAAATAATAAAATAAATGCAATGTTTTCGATAAAATTAATCAACCTATCCCGTTATACTAAAAGTAAAATAAATGACTTTAATAGGTACCTATATCAAAAAACATAATACTACGAGATTTAATAAACTTAGTGTTACTTGGTGCCAAACGTTTTCGTTCAAAATCGTTTTTCATTTACAATGATATAATATCGATAAATTCAAATTTAACAATGACACACTCGATATACCTATTGTACAGCAGACCAACTGAGCCGTATCCGTTTGTTTACTTTTTTATGATTTAAACCTTTAATTGATTGACCTTAAAATGAAATACGATTATTATTATGATAACTATATAGGGAGTTATCGAAGTACTATACATTTTACAATAATTTTTTTCTTTTTATACACATCTAATATGATTCAATAACATTTTTAATCTAATTTAATTTGCTATTTTTGATGTCCGTCCCGAATTTGCTTGACGAAATTATGGCAACCCTACGAGTCGAGCAACCAAATTTTCATACTATGAAAAGAAAAACATTAACAATGCAACGATGTTTTTAATTTGTTGATAACACTAATACGAGAAAAGTTCTTATCGTTTCAAAATTCATTATCTTTGTTTTTCAAACTCGTATAAGTTTTTTTGTAGTTCCGATTTCGAAAACATAAAAACGATGTTGTACAGTCCAAGTTTTCTTCCCAGTCTTCTTAGTTCTTACTAGCATAAAGATTTGATTGCTTAACTTAGGTCTTAGACAATAATCTGATTGGTTCTTGAGCGCGTGAAACAATTTTTACTACGTTTGTAAGACTAACACATGCGGGTGAAGCGTCCTCGTAAGTCGCTTTTCCTTACATGTCTTACTAGTAGTACTCAGACTAGAAATACAATATATTAATATAATATACGTATATATTATATGTGATCGAATTAATAAACCAGGTCTATAAACAGCAAAATTATGTAATCTTTAAACCAATAATTAGACATCGACGATTTCATTTTATTTATTCAAACTTGTATTGCAATTTTATTATTATTAATTCATAACTATGATATTTATTTTGTCTATACATTATACTTCGTAATTTAGGTACTATTTTAGTGTTTACAAACTATTATTGTTAATTTTATTATTTATATGCAAAATAATACTATATATAATATATTATGTAATTCGGTAATTGAGCCTGACTCTTTGAAAACTAAATAAATACATATTTCCACATCCATTTCGAGGAAATAGTGGCATAGTTTTTAAGATGGTACATTATTTCATACCTTCATGACATAGAATATTATTATAATAATTAAATGCATAATTACTTACTAGTTGAGCTTATTAGGTGATAAAAATCCAGACCCTAATACCAGGTTTCGTAAGCTTTAACAAAAAGTTAGTTAAAATTTTAAAAACATGGTCCCTTAAACATGATTTAGTATTTTAGTAGCCCACAATTAGTTCATTAAATTTTAGTGAACTTTTAAATCAATCAAATTTTATGTGAGTCAGCATAAAATAGCTATAGCCTACATGTTCATGAAAAAGTCTATCAAATTTAATGAATCAAAAAGTTTAAAAATTAAGTTGTTATTATTATTATTATTATTATTACATATTATGTTATGCATACAAGTTGAACGTTCAATAAAATAACTCTTTAGTATTTATTGATATTATAAGTGTTTAAAAAGGAAATTTAAGTTATAATCATTTACTAATAAAGCTATTATTTTGATTCATTTTAGAGGATACCTTAAACTTTTAAGTGGAATATTTCTTAACTCTACTTGACTAAGTATTCATTTTAGCCCAAAAAATATATTAAAAATAACTATTTTGTAATATAGCATATTATAATATTTTAATAACTTTTATAATGTGATGTTATTATTAATTAAATATTTAAATGTAGGTAAGTGATAGAGAAAATGAATGGGGAGGTTTCTTTTTTTTAATTATCCTTTAAAGTATTTCCAATACTAAAAACAACTATCAATTAATTCAACCTTATCTAAACATTTTCAAGAATTTCTTTTTTTCAAATTTCTTAACATTAAAAATATATGTTAAATATTTTTATTTTATATGTTTTACCTGTTGTGAATAATTAGAATATTAGTTAAACAAATAATGATTCAAATTATTTAAAGAACTCCTCTCAAATAGTGTACAAATATAACCACACACAACAATATACAAAATCATTTTTATTAATTGATACTCGTGTATATAAAAAAGCAAATTGCTCAATCAACCTAATATCCAAAATATAAATACCTAAAAAGAGTGAAGTGCACTGAAAATACATTGAATTCGAAATTTTTATATTAAGTATATCCTGTGACATACAACTGAACATGTTGATAAAAAAAAAACAGTTTCTTGACATGCCAATTTATACAAAACGTTACAAGGTAAATCGGTTTATCGTTCATAAATATTTTATTATTCATAGAGAATCTTAAACCTTAAATTGACAGTTTTTTGATACTACACTGATTTCAGATGAAAAAACAACATTGTACCGATATTTTTCTAACTCAAATTACATATACAAAACTTACGTTTCAAACGTTATTTACAATAAATTAAATATTTAAAAAATATTATTGAACTTTTAATTTTAACATTTAAAATTTTTTTTTTTTACAAATTAACTACTTAGTATTATGTTTGGTTAAACATTAAATTTGATGGTTAAACACAATACCTATTATCTTAAATTTATTAATAACTTTAAGTTTTAAACTGTAAGAATTTTATTTTACATGTTTAACCAACCATTTTACATTTCAGAATATGGTTAGTTCTGAGTATTTAAGCATCTTAAGTTTAATATGAAAGCACAAATTATCATAATTATAATAATATCAGTGCATTTTACTGCCTATAAAAATGACAATATTTTTACATTTAAATACTATACATCTGTGAAGAAAATTACTTTATTTTCTATCACAGATAAATAAATATAAAAGGGGAAACAATTGATTACTTACCTAAATAACAAGCTTTTGTTAGATTTCAAAAAAATTTAACAAATTAATATGTTAATACTTAAATTTAATTTGAGGGAACAAATAAAATATGACAAATATTTAAGTATAAAAAGTAGTTATACATTCTACATCATTAATATTGTTATTATTAAATATATATTATTCAAATGTATACATAGGTGTGATACAGTTGATAGTTGTATAGCTTTAACAACAAAAAACACGTATATAATAATTATAATAGTAATGGATAAGTAAACACGGCTCACAAATATGTAGTTATTACATATGTATATTAAGATAATAAAATAATGAGTGCTATGTTACATACATACACACAATTTAATAATTAATAATAAATTCACATAAATAAACATGTTTTATATACATAATTATTTATAATATAAATGTAATGGGAGTAAAATAGTTGAAATAATAATAGTTTATACGTAAATAATAACAATAGTTATAAAAAATTGTTTACAACACAATATACCATTAAGGTTTTAGAATAAAAAATATATCACAACATTGTTAAAGAAATGGTAATGACACCAGTTGCCGTTGTTTGTTAGACTAATATTAAAATTACTAATTCAAGTAACATTGTGTATATTATCAAAGTTATTACTGTGATTTTAAAATCATTTACAACGCATCTCTGTGCCATACCCATTTTTTATTAGTGTGGTCGAATCTATGCGCCAACCACTGATGTTCCAACAGTCTGTACCGTTCTGCACTTAGATATAATGGTTTCCCACGTCTGTTTAAAGATAATTTAACATCAATTTTTAAATAAAATTTATGATTAAAAAATTGATTGATTAATATTTACTTGAGTTCTCGATCTTCTTCACCAAATGCATCCAGATAAACAGATCCCCAAAGACAAGCCCGTTTGCCACGAATTACTACAACAGAACTTGAAGTCACAACTAAAAACATACCTGTACCACCGCCACATTCCAACGAGTGCTAACATACAAGATAAAAAAAATTAGTATTTAAAAGACATTAAGTTAATAATGTTCGACTTAAATTGAAAAATAAAATCCATTTTTTTTCAATCAACAACCATTATTTCCTAGTTATATTAATGAATATAAAAAAATAACGTACTTGTACTGCTTCATAAATATGATTTGTTTTACAACAATTTTCTTTCAGGCACACCACAGTACCGCAAACCAAACACACGCTAGTCTCTCGTGGCACACCATGACACCGATGACAGGCCCTACCATGATAGTACTGGAAAACGTCATCATACAGATGTGGCAGCTTCAACAATCGAGGCCCTGTCCAATTAATTGGTGGGAATAAGCTGCGGCTACTGTCTAAGACACCAGCATTGGTATCATCACTATCACAGCAGTCAGCAAAAAGCAACATACGTGCAGCCATTATAATATTAGCTGAAGTGGTGGCTTTAGAATTTGGGTCGATTTCAGCAGCGGCAGATGAAACAATGGTAGTAGTATTTTCACCAATGATAGTGGCTTTAGGTATTTTGGTAGTCAACGATTCACGAAAACTTGTAAACCAAGTACGAGAAATGGTTGTTGAAATTTTATTATTTTTTTCATTGGTAGAATATGACCAATGTGGCCAAATGACAGCTTCCATGGCAGACGGCGGCAGCAATGGCATATTTAGTCTTTTTTCATAATTGTTCTGGTTTTGATCGTCATTATTTTCCATGTATGAACAACTATAGTTATAGGTATCTTCACAATTATCACTGACTTCATGGGCTTCTTCATTATTTAACAGTTTTAGATACCGAGCGAGCATAAGGTATTCATAATCGTCTTTTGACCAATGTTGATAATGGTGAGGATCATTTGGAGTTGAAAAATTGACGTTATAGTTGACTTCAACTGATGGCGGTGAAAGATTATGACTAGGATGTGCATGGCCATCCAATAGTTGTTCTTTTTGTTTGCTTTGTTCTACGTTCAAATTATTAAGTTGTGATGATGACATTGTGAACTCTGGGTGGTCTTCTGGATTATCATCATCATCTCCATTAATATATTTTTTCAATAGAGCAGCAAACCGCAAAAATGGCAAAGTACTTCGTCTTCCGTAAGATTCTAGCAGCAACATATTTTCTTCATCATTTTCTGAAGCATCTATTGACCTGTCAAGTTTGTCATTACTAACAACATTTTCAACACTCTCATCTTCTTGATGCATCATACATTCATTATCATTATTAACTATTGAACTGATGTTGACTATTTCAGTTTCATCGTCATCCGATAAAAACACTATTGTTTTGGCCAAAGCTACAACTTGTGAAAATAAAGGTGTACATGGTAGTCTATTGTCGAATTCGGTTATATCTATAGATAATGATGATAGTTTATTATTGCGTCCATCATCTAAATCCATTTGAACACTAGTGCCTTCATCAGTTTTTTCTTCAGTTTTTGTTGATATTTTTCTTGTATTGAGACTACTGTGATGTCGTCGGCGGTGATAAAGTTGATGGTTGAATTTACAGTTACGATTCCATGTGGAAGCGACTTTCAATGCCGCTATATACAATTGCATGTTGTAGGTGAGTTTGATTAAAGTATCAAACAAATCTAAACATATAATTGAAACACCCATATTAGATTTGAGTATCTCATTTACTAAGTTAGAAATTATTTTTTACATTTTATTATCAAAAAAGCACAGTACAATTTATATACTGTATACATACCACGATCTAGAGTAGGTAATAACAGCACAAGTTGTAAGAGTACAGAGCATGGATCACGCATCATTAATGGTGGATAAGTATTGCTGTACTGTTGTCGAGGCTGATCGCATCCGATTAATTTATACCATACATCACTAATGGGACTATAATCAGAAGTCTGGTATCTGGCCATCAACGATCGAGCGCTTACACGCAATACTTTTAACAATGGTGCTAAAAAATTGAAAACCACTTATTATCATAAGTATTAAAAAACAAATAGAAAAATAAAAATTTTTTAGTATACATAATATTTCTTAAAAGATTACATTAATTTTTCAGGATTAAATTTATTTGATGATCTTTTATCATTCATTTAATAAGTTTATTATCAATATATTATACATTTTATTTTTAATATTTAGCTATTATTATTAAATAAAAATATCCTGAATCAAGTAGACCGTAGTAATTGGCTATTTCTAAATAAACAAATAGAAAATAAATATGTACATAAATTAGATGGTAAAATATTTTAACTGTAATAATTAGTTCAAGAAATATAATTTAAAAAATTTCCTGAAATTATTAGAATATATTTTATTATATTTATTATTTATAAATCAACTTGGATTAAATTGAAAATAACTTGTTATTTATTGTATGAATTAATATAAACACAATAAATTAAGTTAATAAAATTTAAATGCAAAGAAATTTAATTTGAAAAATAATATTAATTTAACTTTTGACTTGACTTGTTTATGTTCAGCACAAATTACTAGTCTCGTTAACTCCAATTTTTTTTCTTGTCCTTAGAAATATTTATACACTCAATCCAATATTTATCGTGATAGGTCACAGGTAAGTTAACACAGATAAGTCAAAGTCAGTAATGATAAATTTATCTTTTATTGTATCATTAGAATCAGTTTATTATCATAAAACTACTATTTTACTATGAAATAATTAACAATATGACTAAAAGTGATAAACTTAAAAACAAAATTGCTAAACAATTTAATATTCTACCGAGTAAGGTAGGTTGGTTTAAGCTGAAGTGAAGGTGCATATAAGATACTATTCAATAAATTAGATAAATTGAAAACTTTATTTAAAGTAATCTAAATACTAATCTCTAATTTCAAATTATTTTTCTAAACTGTAAGAATCATGCTAGTGTTTTAAAATTAAATTATTTTATTATAATTATTCTTGTTAATAAATATATAATAATAAGTAACTCAAATTTAATTATAATTAAAATTTAAATTTAAATTATATAACTCGCAATATACACGGCCAAATTAAATTTTATCTCTCTTGAAAGTTGAGTTATTGAGACTTAACTGTACAATAAATTGTCATATTAACAAACACTATACCTAGATTAAGTTAGAATATACATAGTAGATATATTAATCTTAATTAAACTTAAGACTAATTTAAAATGTAATTCTAGTTGTTATTCACAAATTTATTTAAATAAATAGTAAAAATATAAATTTTTCTGTTTAGTAATTAAAGTAGTCATATAAAGAATAAATGTTTTTTTTTTTTTAGCAAGTTACTAATAATTATAAATATCTAGGATAGTTTGAATACTTGAAATTTGATTGCAATTGAGTACATTTCATGAAATTTTGAATAAATTGACGCTAATTGTATTTAAAAAATTTTAGTGTAAATAAGTTTTGATTTATATATCAGAGATAACAGCATGTTTCTTACATAAAAATACAATTTTTTGTAAAGAACACAAAAAATGTAATCCCAAAAATTACAAAAAATAAAAATATACATTACTTAATAATTGTTTTTAACATAATAAAACTAAAGGAAATTTTTATTAGAAAAAAATAACGTTTATGTTTTATTTCTTGATATAAAATGTTGTTTTTAGTAAAAAAAAAGGTAGTAAAAAAAAAGGTAGTAAAAACTTTAACGTACAATTTAAATAAATAAACTAACATTGTTAAATTTAATGATGTTAGTGATATTCCTACTTACATATTTAACAATTGAATATTTTTATCAGTTTGTAAGTTAAATATTTGTAAAAATATTTAAATAATTTTAAAAATGAAATTAGTTTTTATTTTCTAGATTATTAGGGTTCTTTTATTATAGTAAGAATATCCAAGTAATAAAACAAATTATGTTATTTATAGTTGTGACATCCATTTCACAAAATGGCTGTGAATGTTGTTCATTTCACGGAACATATGATAAAGAAATATAGCAATGACATATATATATATGTGTGTGTGTATGATAAAAGATATGTCATTAAACACTTTTAATTATAAATAACAGGATAAATGAGATATATTGTTCTACATTTGTGACAATTTTAATAATAATATTATTTACTATTATATATTTTAATTTTAACGACAAAAACGTTATATCTGCATATCTTATTTAGGTCTTACAAATACTGTTGTAGCAAATTCTACATACTAATTTTTTTTTAAATATTTTGATATTGAAATAAGTTACAGGTATTTTAAAAATGAAAAATTTAAAATCCTTAAACAATACTTTAAAATTGATATAAGAAAAAAAAACTACATGATGCTCTGGATAATTCTTACCATAAAATTGTAAAACAAATTGTAAAGGTTGCCGTCTATCGACATCATACATTATTTCTTAGGTAGAGCATAAGTTGTTAAAATGCTAAGTGTGAGGAATGGCAATCATTGTCAAAATCTACTCGAATAGGTAACCCATATTCTATATATATTAATTACAAATTATCTGTTTAACCTAATATACATTACATGTATAACACTGTGCTTTATATGAATAAGGTAACCCTGATTTCCAGTATATTAATATTACACACCGAGGTCGAGTCCCTGAGATCTCATTAATAAAAACATAACTCCACTGGTATAGCAAATGCAAAGTTTGCGACTACTCAGTGAAGAGGGGACATTACAAAGTCAAATCACTTTTATATTAAAAATAACAAGAGTAAAATAAATTATTTGGATGTATTATTTGATATGTCATACTTTAGTTAGACTGAGACAAAACAGAAGTAAACCAAAAGATACATACCTATACAATTGCGCTTGGGCAGCATGTTGTAATAATTATTGCCACTATTAATATCTGTAGAATTGACTGCACTGGTAGAAAATAAATTGAGTCGACAATAATAATTATTACCACTATGCAATGAAGATGGATCTTGCTGTAGTTGTTCTATAAGACTGTTGTTACGCTGCACCAATTCCACTTGGATATTTGTCCAAGCCACAGATACAACACTATGCCATCTTACTTTGTACATGTTTTCTCGTTGAGTTGATGACAATAATGTATGTGGCAATGATACAGTTTGAGCTGCAGCTGTGACTACCGTTGTAGTAATCATATCACTCACACATTTATTAACAGCACTCAATAAAGGATCTTCTTCAAATTCAAAATCTTCTCTTTCTCCTCCATTGCCACCAATTTCTTCTTCACCACTAGTAGGACTAATATCACGTAGGTCATCCACCTAAAAATAAAAATATTTTACTGCATTCATAAGACCACCAATAATTTATTGAGAATACAAACCGGAAAATATTCATCATCATTAAAATGATGGTGGTGAACATTCTGATGTAAAGGATGTCGATTAACAATGTTTTCTGTATCACCAATGAAAACAGAGGTTGATGTTTCACTGCAGCAAACAGCATCACCAGATTGTTCTGGATTTGGCGAATCATATTCTTGCTGTTTTACTAGTTCTGTTAATTTACTCACAGCATCAGACATAGCACTTGCAGTAATAATATTATTTAAAAAGGCACAGCCCCGTTGTCGCTGGTTTTGATGAATACTAAGTTCTGGTATTAATGGCATTAAAGAATTAGCTAATTGCCGACAAAGTGGACAACTATATTCTCCACTGTAAAAGTATAAAAATGATAAATTTTTTTTTGTTATTGAAAATAAACTAACTCTAAAAGCTATGATTTAAATACAATAAAATGATTGTAATAACATTAATGTTTAAAACGATTACATACCGGTCTGCATTAAAACGCTGAGCTCCACGTAAGGATGCCAGATATGAACTCCAACACCTCAAATGTAAATGATGACCACAGGTCTGTACATGAACATTACCACCAATCGGAGTAGCACTAGTAGTAGTAGTAAGAGATCCAACTTCAAAATCAGCCTTATCCAAGTTCTACAAAATCAATATAAATAATTATAATGTATATGGTAAATGTAATTAATATATACTATGCCTTAAAAAAAGAAAAACTGTTAAATTTAAGTATTTAAATTCTATGATGACCAAATATATTATTGTTTAACTGTATAAGAATTAAAGTTAACAGAAAGAAGCTTACATTAAAATATTGCGACATCAGTCGTTTACGACGATCAGAATGTGAAGCATATGTAGTTGCATCGTAATTATCAGCTATTGTTGTCACAATTGGTTGATTATGTTGTTGCAATGATTTAGGGTCATTTGCTACAGATGAAGATTGTTGATGATGTTGCTGCGAATTCAATGGCGGTAAAGCAGGCCAATAATGATAATAATTTTGTTCATTGTTGACTATACTACTGTTTTCAACACTATTAATACTTGTGACACCAGTAGCTTTTTCTGGGTCTAATGGTTGTTGCTGATCAGTAGCATTAATATTACTAATATTGTATAGATTTGTTGATACTATTGGTTGTGAAACAATATGCCTTCTATGTGCTAAAACGTTTGTACCCTACAATGATATAAAAGAAATGACAATAAAGCTATATTAAAGTATTTATTTTAAAATTAAATCTAAAATTTAAAAATAAACATACTTGAACCAATATTACTAATCCTATTGGATCTAGTTGCTGTTGCTCTATCTGTACTACCACAGTTTGATTACAAATCACACAATCAACAGTCAATTTGTTTTTATGTTGATCAGATCCAGGAATATTAGTTGTCGATTCTTTTGTTGTTGTTGTTGTACTATTATTACTACTACTACTGTTTTCATCTATTTCAACTATAGTATTTGCCAACATTGAGGTAGTGGCTTCACTACTACAAACAGTTGGAGTAGATAACTCCACAGTGGGAGCTAGTATGTCACATTCCATATTTGAAGAAGTGCCGCCACTGGTAGATTGTGATTGTGTATCAGCAGAATCTAGATCTCCAGAGCGACGTGCACTTTCAAGAAATGCACGTTGTGCTCGTGCCATTTCTTCCATCATTTGCTGTTGCTTATCACGGGCTCGGCGCTTCCGTTCCCGCCGCTCACGCTCTTCGTCATCTCTTGAAGCAGTTTCTCGCATAACCACTGCTATTGGCCATAAAGCTGCTCTAGTACGCAATATGCAATCATAACATTTTTTCGATCCTTTAGCTATTCTATCCAATAAACGACCCACAAAAAATGCCCCATCACCACATGGAGGCATATCTTCTTGGCTATTATCATTATCTGATGCTGATTGGTTTATCTTGGCATCATCAATTAAATTATTAGAAGTGGTTGGTTGAGATGAAAGTACAGGCAGCTGATATGAATCTGGTTCACCAGACAACTGTGAGTGTAATTTTAAAAGCAATGAAATGATACTCTCATTTATACATACTAATGAATTTTGTTGCTCATCAACTTCTATCACTGTCTGCTTAAAATAAAAAATTGGTTTTAATAATCTATAGGTTAGATTATTACAAGTAATTATTAATTGTCACTTACATTTTTATCAACTCCCAATATCGATGTTTCATTATCAGTATTTCTCATATCCTCAAACGGAAATTCAGGTATAGTAAGATCAATAACTGGTATATCTGATGATGATGACGATGACGACGATGACTGATGTTGTTCCTGTGTAAGTGAATCTGTTTTTGGTAGAGGGCGTAAGAATTGTAAACGTTGTTTAACGCGATTCAACGCAGAATCTGCTAAAAAAAAAAATGAAAATAATGAATTTTTTTTTTATATAATTGACACACCATGTTAAATATTAAATAATTAAAAATGATTTAATTTTAACAATAAAAATGTTATTTAACAAATTTTTATTTTCTGAAAGTATTGATTTCAAAAAATTTATTTTTGAAGTTTTATAAATTAAATTCTTTTGACAAAACATCAGTATTAAATATTAGAATAGTATGACTGCAGTTGATATACTACGTTCAAAAACATTTTATAATATACATAATATGTATTACCCATTGTCGAAGATGTAGCAGCTGCTGCAGCATTTAAACTATAAAAAGGTGGGCGAGTAGGAATAGAAGAACCACCAGCAAGAGGTATTTCATTACCAGCTATTGTAGCTAAAGATGGAACAACATTAGGCTGTTGCTGTGAGTTACCTAAAAAACATAATATATGTATATTGATCATTAATTATAATTATATAATTGAATAAAGTACACGTTGAAAACATAAAAGCATCATTAGTTATTTTTATTAATTATTCTTACCGGGTTCAAAGTTATGAGAAACAGTAATTGGCGAAGAAGAGCTAGCCACAGAAGTAGCTGCTGCTACAGATGATGTAAAATAGTCAAATAAATTGGTTGCCATTGTTGAAGCAGCCGTTACATTAGAAGTAGCATTAGTTGCTTCTTCACCAAAAAAATAATGATAGTAAGGTGGCGGCAACTCTACATGTGTAATAGTAGTACACAAATTGTATGCCAAATCGTCATGATCATACCAATGATTCAATAATAAGAGTGTTGTTTCTTTAGCATTAACCGCTTCATTATCAGAATTATTAGTATCTGCTACAGTTATTTTGATCTTTCTTTTTGGACCATTTTTGATGGTGCGATTTTCATAGAAACGTTCTCTAGATGAAGCAGCTGATGTAGAAGATGATGATTCAGACTGCTCAGTTGGTGGATCTGTATCCATTGGTTGCTGTTGATTATTAGATGTCTTGTTGTCAAAGGAAGAATCATAACATATCCACGCCTGATCAAGGAGATAAACCAGTAGACTGAGTGTATGTTCACTAATATCTCGATAAACTGCTGAACGATAAAGGCAATGCCAGACAACAGCATGAAATAACTTAGATAACAGTGCTCTGCAAGGATTGCGATATGCTGGATGGTGTTTTTGTGGCATTCTATACGGTGGCCAAGTATTTTGATTTTGTTTCAATACCCCGATAGAACGCATACTACAAAATACATAAAATAATGATTATAACAAAATGTAAATTATTATGTTAAAAAAAATTTTTTTTATATCATACAATGTTGTGTAACGATCCATGGATGATTGAAAATCACGTCTATGTACAGCTCTTAAAAGGACATGTACTGGATCATACAATTTTTTCCAGACATGCGGTAAAGGCACATACAATCCTTGTTGCATGTTACCAGACGCTTCAAATTGAGGTCTTTTATACTCAGCCACCTAATTACAATAATACATAATTATGAAATATTTTCTATAATTAATATATTAGATTAAAAGTTAAACTATTTTAATCTTACAGCTTGTAATACAGTTTCAAAATCACGCATAGATGGTGGAGATACTTGATCAAGGGAGGAAGGATTTCGAGATGCACTATCACCACTGGTACTTATAGAACTAGCGGTAGTTGTAGCGCTAGTTTGAATACCACCGCAGCGTTCAGGCATTAGTTCCATTAATTGGCTGTGCGTTTTATCAGAAACACATAATAAAGTGACCATTTCTAATTGTGACTGACAATAATCATAATCTTCATCAGAACCTAACAAATAATCAATTTTTTTTAAATATTGATTTATGTAGAAATAAAAAATTAATATTATTATTCGTATTTAAATAAAGCTTACATAAATTGGTACGAACACCTATTAAAGTGGCAAGGAAAACTAATAAACTTTCCATACTAGGTGCTGCATCATATTCCTCCGAATCCATTACTTGAGGTAATCCTCCATGTTTAACTACATGCATCCAATCATACACTTTAAACCTACAATATTAATAATAATTAAAATCGTTCTAACACTTAGAGAATTAGAGAATAATTAAAAATAATTAACCAACTTATACAATAAAATAGTAGTAAAGATAATAATTACTTTTCCAATATTAATGACATGAATATATTGGCATCAGATAATTCAGACAGACAAAGTTGAAGTAAATATATGTCAGCATCTACCATGGATATACAAAAATTCGATTGGATATACGTCATAGCTTGACCTTTTATCTGTAGGCCATTACGCACCCATGCACCCTGCATGATTTCGTAGAATGCTGATTGAGCACGTACAGGATGTGAAGCAATTGCCGTTAACAATGAGTCTCTATCAGCTGAATCATCTTTATTGCTTCGTGGTATAATGTCTTCTATACGAGCACTTTGAGCACGCACAGCTTGACACAAAAATACTGCTAAATACCGGTGTAAAGGCAGGTGAAAAGTGAACTGATGGCGATCATCTAATCGTTGAACTAAATTTGTGGAAGTACTTGCATTGGAGTTATTAGAAGAGGAGGCAATACTATCACAATTATAACTCTGGTCTTGATTATAATAACCTACATCTACAAGCCATTTGCGTAGGCGTTTAAGACAAGCGCGTAACACGCGGTAGGATAGTGGCAAAGTTTCGGTAGATGTTAGATGCGATAACATGGCCCACATTGGATATGCACTAGCTTCAAGTTCAGCACTAAAAGCAGCATAATAGGTGTTTGGTTCAAATTCAACATGATGTCCCAACTCTCGGCAATTAACATTCATTCCTACAAACATTAGTTTTCATTAATATATTTATTTACTATAAAACTATTAAATGCATCATAGATAATCAGTTTAGATTATTTAACTAAGAAACACAAAATTTACCTTGAAACATTGATAAATATGAAAACCATGAATCCAATAGACGATCATCACACATAAATTTAACTGCAATTGGCCTATGTGATAATACATTGTTTAGATCGCTAACCAGTGGCCAATAACAATGTTCTTTCATAACAGCCTTTGAACAATCTACAACCCTGTGTTTATTTTTCGAAGGATCTAAAACAAAACATATAATTTATAAATATTTATATATTATATAATAGTTACATTGCACATGATTAAATAATGAAATATAAAAATTATCATTCTATATATCAATTACTCGTAGTAGCTCAAAGTTCACAGGCGAAAAATAATTGAGTACTAAATATTTCAGGTTATCAGGAATTTAAAAATATATATACTAATAAATAGTTAAGATTATATATATATATATATATATATATATATATATAAGTTAATATTATTTTTTTTTTAAAGAATTAGTGTAAGGACAATTGTTTTTATTTAATTGCTACATTTTTACCAATTAATAAAATTATACTCTTTAAACAACTGAGTAATTTAAACTAATATCTTTATTACTTATAATATAATTATTTTATGTTTCTCAAATATGTTTTATTTATAAATCTTTGATTTATTCTTCATCGCCATTGTCTAATATATAATTTAGATAAATTAAAATGTATTTATAATAAAAACAATTTGAGAAATATCAACAATTTTTTATGATATATTCTCAAATTAATAAGATTATTTAATTATTTCACATTAAGAAGATGTACCACCCACATGATTTTCTCCATCTTACAAACATAAAACATAGCAAAATTTATTTTACTGTCATTTAAACAACTACCGTGAATTGGCTTATCATAAAAGTAAAAGGTAAATTATTATCAAGAGCATCTCCGAGGTTTTATGATATTTTAATTTTGAAGTAATTTTATCATCATTTTAAAATGCTTGTACAAAGCTTAACTTGCTTTGTAATAAAAATATCAAAGATGCATTAGATAATACTACCTTAAAATATTATGATAAGTTTAAAGGTAAAATGGATTAAGGTTAACATAAAATTTGTAGTTTTATCCTTCAACGTTGGTAAGATGAAGATATATATACAGAAATGGTTTAATTTGGTTTCAAAAAAAAATGTTAAATGTTTAAGATAATGAAATATTTGAATTACAAAGACTTGAACAAACTTAAAATGAATTCAATTAGTTACCATGTAATGTTGAAGGTATCAATATTTTTGTCATCATACGCCTTAAGCTTGATACCATTATTCCGAGTAATCCTAATTTGTCAACCATCCGCAAAGCTAATGCTTCATTACTAAACAATTGAACGCTGATATGAACAATATGATTAGAAAGGGTATCTGAGTCTCGCGTTGTTGCTAATACACGTGCCACACATCCATAATGCATAACAAATGCTTCAGTCAATGCTTCCTTATATGCTGCATCAGGCAACATATTCAACAGAAAACATACCATCTTTTGAGGAAACTCATATCGAACAGTCCAAAACACAATCTCTTGCAAAAAACTTGAATGATTCAGTTTGTTTTTTTGTCCACTACTATTCTGACCGTCAACGAGCCAATCATCTAAAACAATAAATCCACATTCCATACTTAATATTAATATAATAATCAACGATATTCATTGTATAAAAATACATTGTAATGGAAACTACATATTTATTAAAAAAAAAAAAGAATTTTTATCAATATATAAAAAGAAGTATAAATACCTTTAATCGCAGTAAATTATAAATTAAATATGACAATAATCAAATTATCTTATCTAACTTTAGCTTAAATATTTTAAGTTATTTCCTATATCACAATTTATACAATATATAAAAATGTACATAAATATTAATGACTTGAAACTATTAAAAAAAAAAAATAACAATATTCTTTTAAGGAACTATTAAATGAGTATAAGTTAAAAAATTAATGTTAATCTAATTTGATGAACAACATTTAATAAAAACAACAAATTTATAATTTATTTCAATTACTTTTTTATGACACTTTAGTTACTTTTTCATTTGACAATTTTAAGTTAATATTTCTAAGTTTTGAAGATTTTATTTTACAATAACTCATAAGTATTTTCAATCTAAGTTTTGACTTATAAATGTAAAAAAAAGGTATAAATACTAGTTTATTATTTGAAAATATAACTTATATACTAAGTATACTTTTAGTACATTCTATATACTTTTGTTTACTTTGCCAAAGCATAAATAGATAAATTAATTTAAAAATGATCTGATTTTCGCAACTAAATATAAATTTGTTAATTCTAAAAAAATAATATCCTTTTCTCACAGTCAAAATTTTAAAATTATTGAGGAAAAGTAAATATAAGAGTATAATATTATTAAATTAAAACATGTGAAAACTATATACATTATTTCTTTTTTATTGGTGTTTGATATACATTTAAATGATAACCAACTGTAAGATAATTAGTAAATCGACTGTAAAACGAGATAGTTAAAAAATAACATACCAATACAATTATTATTTTGTTCTTTCATAAGCAAATTTCATATTAAAATTATGACCTCTTAAAATAACTGTAGCAACTAGTTTTATTTTCTAATTATGTAGCAATTATTTTACTATAACTTTAGGTAACATATTTAATTTTACCTCGAATAAAATATATATTTGTATTAAATGATTATTTAAGATAAATTTTTAATTAAAATTTTTAGTATAAAAAAAGTAGTTGTTAAAGATAAAAATATCAATCATGAAAATAAGGTTACTTTTAAAATATTCTGTTTCAAGAACTAAATTTAATTATTTTAAAAAAAATATGAAATATTAAATTGAATATATGTCATATAGATACTAAAAAATATGTTAATAAAAGATAAAAATTCAGAAACTTTTATATTAACAAAAGTATAGAATTTGACCTTTTCATTAAATAACATTTTATTTTTATCCAAAAGAGCATTAAAATTCTACATTTTTGTCTTTTATTTAATAGTAAATTATGTTTAAAATTTACCTTGTCCAAATTCATCATCATCATAGTCATTGTCGTCTTCAGAATTACTAACACTATTACTGCCATGTACACCATCTTCAATTCTTGTGTTACTACGACGTCGTCGACGATTGCTTGATGATGACGATGTTGAAGTAGTGTATTGATGTATAGCTTCGGCATAATAGCGACGCACTTTATCTGTGTATATAGTATAAATAGTCTGTTGTTGCTGCTGCTGCTGTTGCTGTATATTAGAATCGCTGCCAAAATTACCAGTACTACTATAGTAATCACATGCCCATCGGTATATCTATACAAGAATAAAAAGAAAATTTAATTATTATTTTTTATACTTTTTTTTATTATATTGATTATATTTTAATTAACATACTCTTTCATTGGTTAGAGATACAGTCATAACACGTCGCATAGCAGCTCCAAGGGCACCAAGGTCATGTAACATACCCAAAAATGGGTCCAAGTCTATAAGTAATAAATTTTGTTGCTGATTTGTCATTCCAGCACCAGCACCTGTAACACCTCCTGGTGGTACATGTGTATTGCTTGTTCTAGAATCGGCAATTTTACTAAAAAAAAAAATGATCATTTATAATTCTTACTTAAAAATGGAAGTTAAATGTGAATTATACCTGTTTTCACGTAAATATTGCACAAGTCGCAACAAAAGTCTTGGCATTATTCTCTCAGCAACCCTCAATAAATCAGCTGGAGGTTGTTTACAACTACTATTACTGCTAGTACTAGTACCGTCAATATTATTTGTACTACTATGTTTGCGACAAAACCTTGAAAAATTATAAATATATTTTATTTGACAAATATTGTTTATATTGAAATACAATTGAATAGTTTTGGTTTAAATAGATAATTCTAATAGTAGGAATTAAATACATTTTGATTATTACCAAAATTTCAGTATAAAGTTGAGAGTAACAAAAACAAAATTGAAATAATTGAAAACTTAAACGACTGTTAACATAATTATGTGAATATGGTGTATATTTTATAGGTAAAATATCAAATACATGGCATTATGTAGTATGCAGATCTAGGTAATGTGGACAGTAATTTATTAAATTAAATATAAATATTATTGTTAAAACATTTTTTTTTTCATATATTAGCCATGAAATTTATATATAATCTATCAATCTGACTGAGTTAAGTACTATGATAAAATGCTCAATTATAAATAACTATCTTACACATCGTATAACACATGCAATTATATTACATTATTTTTAATATTATAAAAGTTTTATTTGATTTCATACATGTATATTCCTTATCAGTAGTCGAAAAGAGAAGTTAATAAGTATTTTAATTAATAGATGAATGAAAGAATGTGAATTATATGCGTTTAACATAATCAAAATAATATAACATATATTCGAGAAATTATAAACGTGAAATTAAACTTAATTTAAAATAAATAATCCTACACATTCTATACTTCTTTAAAAATGAATAGGTTTTAAATTAATTGGCAATTATTATTATTTGCTCACTTATATTCTATTTCAAAAGTTAATAACTCAAAAGATAATTATTTAAATATTAGCATTTATTACTATTAAACTTATATTAAAAACAATACAAAAAATATTTTTAATTAATTATTTACATTATCCTAATAGATATTGCTCACATCACCTAGATAAGGTCCATATTGTCCACATTTTGAGTATTTACATTCACAAGTAATATGTAAAAATATAAATATATTATTTAATTAATTAGAATATTAACTGTTTTTATAAATTATTTATAGTATATCAAAGGATTGTAATTTCAATAGATATTAAAACTACTTAAAATTACCTATTATAAATTGTATTAATAATGTTTACCCTATAAAATATTAATAATCTTCATACTTAATATAAAATGAACATAATTATACAAAAAACACACATACATAGACATATATATATATTGATATGGATTAATATAAAATTGCTTTTACTCGAGAAATCAGTTTTAACCACATTATATGTAAAAATAAAATATTGTGATAATTTAATGATAGTAATTATAATTGTATAAAAAGTCCCAACCATACTATGATTTTTGTAAAATATTTATTAGAAATTATGATATAATACATTTTAATATATATTACCCATCAGGCTTCATTACACTCGTGTCTCCACAATCACATGCCCCTCCTGCTTGAGAACGAAACATATTGAAATCATGACCTGTATGATCACCACGCTTAAAACAATCTCCACACAAAGACATACAAGGCGATATACTGCATGTACGACATCTATATGCTACATAGTTGGCTGTCCAAACGAGGCCACAACACGTACCATAGTCATATACTTTGACTAAAAAATAATAATATTTGAATAATGAATAATAGGTAAATAATAAAATGGTTAAGACTAAAACTTACCTGCACTGCTAAATTCATCTAGAGTTTTTCCGCCAGCCATTAACCAACGTAACCAATCCAAATTATTCCACTCGCCAATTGCATCGTATGGATTAAGCAGCACATCTAGCATATCATCTAGTAATTTACAACGGGTTAGAGCAGAATCAGCTGCAGCTGCATCACCGCTACCATCATCTTGCTGTTGTTGAGTGGAAGCCGCATCAACTGCAGCATTACAACAATCAGCTGCAATGAGTGCGGCTGCACCACGTTTCCCTCGTTTCATGAGTCCATAAGCAGGCGACTGCTGCTGTGCAATATTTGCAGTCGACGTAGTGTCCATTATCATAGTACAATAAATATATGTCTAAATGTATTGAACAAACAAGTTTGTGAGGTAGTGTATATAGTGTATGTAGAAGGACGATGTCAACATCATGACAGACACTACATTTGACTCGTTCAACATTTTGTATAAGTTTTATCTGAAAACTTCTCCATATGTCACATGTGGAATAAATGTTGAGACACTACGAATTTGGAATCGTGTTAACCTCCTGAATATTACTATTCACTATACTTAGTTTACTTGTATAACGATAATTGTACAGCAGATATTCACAATATGATAACAGGTGCTCACCCGTTCACGCACTCGTTGAGCATAGCGATATGACCCGCGCGACGTTCATACTACTACGATGGTATGGAAGTGAACTCAATAGAACACACACCACGTGTAATGACGATCCCAAGACACTCAAAAAGATTTACAATTATTGGCAAAACTTAGCTTGAAAATAACGCCACTGGGTATCTCCGGTACGTAGTCCGTTTGAGCACAGCGAAGTGACACAACACAACGATAATGATAATAATAATGTGTATGACGTACGTGCGCGTTTCAACGATAGTGCGAAAAATCGAACTCACAGATAGTGACTTTATGAAATTTAAAAGATTCAAACAAAAACAAAAAATAAACAATAAAAATAAAATGTTCTTGTAAAACGAAGCGCGTTAACATGCGAGTACGACAACGGGCATAAAAAAGAATAAAAGGAAGAACGACGACGGTCGACGATTATATCACTTGTCGGCACCACAACCACCACCACTACCACCGTCCTCCGCTAACACCAATCGGACAATACATAGAAGCATTCGTGCGAACACATACGGTAGTAGGGAAAATACTGTGGTAGTGTGGTTCGATGTACACGGATGTCCGTGATAGCACGGAGGATACCACTGTGACTACTACGACCGCAGCTGTGGTATGAATCATCGTAACCGGCTGGACCGCACTTATGATAACATTAATGAAGGTAGACACGGATTCGAACAATTCAATATTCAATACACAATAATAAATACCTATAATGCATTGTAAATTATAGTCCTTAATCATAACTCATTAGTAGTCGTTACTTAATACTTACTACTAGCACATACTTACCGTTATATATCTTATCTACATCTCATTACATCAAATATTTTACGTTATTCGAATATGGCTGATGAATTAACTATATTATAGGTACACAGGTTATCGTAAAAAGTTCTTTTCGACATTTTAGCAAATTCTTTTTTATCATTTAAAATTCCCACACATTGCAACGATGGCATTAAAAATGGAGTCGGATACATTTTAACGTCACCTATGCAGTATATATGCAGATCTTAAAAGTTGGATTAGGACAGTGGCTGTCATATAGTATGCGGTCTACCGCAAATAAATAAATTAAAAATTATATCATAATATTATGGTATAATTATTGTAGTATTACTACCTAGTAAAAAATCAATAATTAAAAATTCGTTTGTCAAAAAAATTGTTGTCAATGAATATAAATAAATATAATGTAATATGTTATACAAAAACTTCCGCCATATCTCTCAAAAATGAATTAAATAATTCTGATTTATTTATTCCACGCCACCATGTTTCCATGAGATACCTGCAATAATATGTATCATTATATCATACGTATTACGTTAAATTAATAATTAAATAAAAATAATTTGCCAACATATTGAGTGTATAAAATATAAATTATGGTGTCGCGCAATAAATGACGTACTGAGCTATTGAGCCCATACTTTTACAAAATGTCAAAGTATTGTTATCTGTGTATAAGGCAATAAAGATAAAGTGTTGACCGAAGAAAAAGATTAAAGTGCATCCATTAAAAATGAACTTAAGCCTATATAAAAACCACAGATAGACTGCATCCTACACCAGCCGGTAGAACGCGTTTGTTAGTAGACCGCATACTATGTGACAGCCAGAACAGTTTTATCTACGGGAATACTAAAAAAATAAATACACGGAGCCTTTATCCTAAGAGATTTTCCTTATTAGGTTTATAATTTGATACAATTTGTAAATTAACTTCTCACGTGTATTTTTTAAGATTAACAAATATTTTTTTGGTAGGTATGTAGTATATGTATAGATGTATAACCTATCTGTTATCTATCTATTATAATTTAAAATATAGGATTCTAGAATTACGGACAAAAAAAAAAAAAAATTGAAAAAAATAAACTCAATCACAAAACCAACATATAGTTGTATAATATTTTCAAGAGGGAGAGTCAGGGTCTGTTCTGTCCACCCTTTTTATGGCAAACATCAATTGTAATGCTTAGGAATAATGATTTATATACTTAAGTTTCAATGAACGATGGCGACATCGCAGATGTAGGTATAACAAAAGCATTCGTAGCGTCGTCGATTTAAACTGAAAACAAATAATAAAATAAATAATTACAGAACGTTGGAAATTACAAAATACAAATAATAATAAAAACATACAACTATTTTATTTTAACTAGCCCAATTTATCAAGTCAATTACACTTTTGATATAATTTAGTTGGTCAACCCACATTATATTATGTCTACTTAAAAAATGAATGAGGATGTATGTTACACTGAGATATATGTTACCTATGAATAAAGTATAAACCATTAAGTCCGAAATTGTACATTTCTCAATGTGTACCTACAGTAGGTATTTTTGTTCATACAATGTGTGAAGGCTTGAAATTTGAACTGTACAATTTTGCTATAAAAAGTGTTGATAGATTGTACATAAGTTACATTATATAATTCACAACGTGTACAGCAATCGCTATACAAATCACAAAATGCCTAAACATATTATACAAATTAAATTATTTCCAAGATTATACAGTTTTTCATATAAAAAACGTATCTATGAATATTTTTGTGTCACAAGAATAGAATTATAATTTTACCTAGGTACTTTATCAAATATATATCAATACGTAAAAATAATGTATTATATTAATAATACATTTTTTTTAAATGTATTTTTTCTAAAAAATAAATTTTTAAGTATTACATAATACCATAAGTGTATTTACTTACATACTATCAAAGGTCTAAATGTAAGTACCAATAATATTATAAGAGCGCACATAAATCAGAAAAAGTATTATTTTTTATTTTTGCAATCAAGTGAGTATCAAGTAAGTTATTACGAGAGATATAATTGTTTAATACATTTTTTTTATATATATATATTGGTGTATTTAATATTAATATACTTCTGTGTACAAAAACATTTTAAAATACCTTGCTCTTCAAATATCGATATTTTGTAATTTTGTATATTTTGTAATTTTTAAAGAAATGTTATTAGTTGATAAATCGTTTATATTTTTATTTATCCTATCAGTTATTAATTGAAAATTGATAATGACTAAATAATTTTATAACAACGCTATTTTTGTACCAATTGCGTATACGATTCGTCCCGTCGTCCGTCACTACTTCTATTATAAAACCTAAAAATTACCTAACTAATCATAATATGATTTGCTAAGTTCAATTAAATAATATCTTCACTAATCATTTTTAATAATTCATTATTTATTAATTCTGATGAAGAAATTACTTGTTTTAAATTCATATAAGATTTTAATGTTTTGATTTTATTCTCAGGTATCTAGGGCACTAAAATTAAATTTAAATTGTGATTTTTGACCGAATAATGTCTTAAATGATGATTATTGAATTACCTATTAATATTAATCCTAAAACAAAATTAAAGTCATGAAGTATATATTTCAAATAATTTTTATTATAAACATAAACACATTTCAATTTTAATGGTAAGTGGTAAGGGGACGTGACCTCATACAACAAAGTTTAAGAACTCGTGGTATATACATGCAATAGTTACTATTTCTTTAAAATTAACAAAATCGAATATCTTCACTTCATTTATTTGATTAATTTTCAGACATGCACGTCCTTAAATTATCTTGCATATCTATATTAGCCATGTTAAAATTTTTTAAACTTTGTAAATTATGAAGTTTTTTTATGTACAATTTTAAGTTACGACCACATTACGGCCGTAAGTTATTTTTTAATTTATTAAATATATAATTAACAAAATCACAACCATTGTCTAACTGAAAAATTGAAGCTGTTTCAAACTGCAAAACATTGATAAATTTTTTGAATCGACATGAAAAATTTGAAGGAATGAGAATCAAAGTAAGTTTCTTGTAACTTTTCTTAAAAACTACAAAAACCAAAAAAAGAATTTAAAAAAGGGGATTTTTGCGATAAACGATTTTTGATAAAATAGATTTCTTTATTTAATCATAATTTGAAAACGAATAACCATAGAAAATTGAAATTTTCACAAAGTAATTAAGTTATCATTTCTTATACATGATATAATTTCCAAAATGTTTTGTATCTTTTTAAGTTTATTATTTACAATAGAAATTATATTCGATTTTTTTTTGTTTTTATTTTATGAAAACTTAAATATATGTATTACCTAATAGATTCCACATAAATTGTGATTCTACCTGTATAAAAGTATTGATTATACACAGGCGAAATATTTTCACGTACATTTAAAGTTATACATTTGACGAAATTCATAAGATTCGCAAAAATTTACAAACTATTTTACAGTTGAAAATTTATAAAAAAAATTTTTTATATCTAAATTTTAAAAATTCCTTTTAAGTAGTTAATACTGAAATCAAAAATCTAAAAAATATTTAATCACAATTATTAGGTATCCTATATAAATATTTAAAGTTCAAATTTGAATGAATTTACTAATATAACAATGAAAAATTATGTTAGTTATCTTGTTATAATTCAAAATCATTATTTATGAAGACTTAAAACTTTTATATATTATATTAGGAATGTTCCTATACGCAATGAAAATTATAAAATATTATGTAGATTAATTTTAAGTTATTACTTGTTTGCAGTGCTTAAATTGAGAAGGGACAAAGTCCTTTTTGTTTATAAAAATATTTATACATACCCCTTCTACTTGTATATACTTGTATCTTAACTAACAAGACACTTAAATTACTCATGGTATAATTTTATGCTTTAAATTTATAGCAGATCAAGCTTAAAATCCTAATTAAATAATGATAAATTAAAAAATTTTAAATTTATATTTAATATTCCTTAAAAATTGATTTATTTTCTTAACTAATTTATTTCAAAGAATATTGAATATAAAACTCAACATTATTTTACTTAGGTATTTATTGCCATTGTCGCAATCGAATATTAATTTGACGACACATTGTGCGATAAGCAATATTTAATCTAGGTATATCACGCTAATATGTCGAAATATTATCTTATCGTCGAAAGGTTATCGACCTAACTAATCGTAAATCTATTTATTTTTCATTCGTTAGTAAACTTGTTGTATACAATTGACTTTTTACAACATTTTTTCAATCAAACATTTTTTTTTGGAATTTCAAATAATTTTATTTTTATGTATATTTAAAAATTTTCATGCACATTTTACCTGTTTTAAATTCTATAACTACTAACTAGTAAGCCTTATTAATAATATAATAAATGCAATATTTATAAAAAAAAAAAACCAATCTATACTGTTATACCTACTATTAACAAAATAGATTAGATAGGTAATAGGTACCTACTTTAATAGCAATATCAATAAACATATCTTGAAATTAATTTAGTGATGAATCATCATGAATCATGATATTTCGTTTTTCATGTACAATGATGTATCATTAAATTTAAATTTAACTCATCAATTAGGTACTGTTACTAACTTGACACTGTCTTTACAGCTGTGCGTCGTAGCCGTTCGGTATCCACTTTTTCCGTCTGATTTTTTCAAAAATAAGCTTTCATATTTTTGATATTTTTAGTTACTTATACTAATATCTTCATTGAATAGGTTAAATAAAATTTAATATTTGTTCTACCTTCTTGAATAGAGTAGTTGCTTTTATATTTTGGACATTTATTTGTCATGGTATTCTCTTATTAATCACTTGATGGATTAGTAGGTACTTAGTAGAAATATTGGATTATAAAAAATTACAAAAATGTATTTTACATTATATTTTCGATATAGTCGAGATTGCCGGACGGTCGGTATACTTATATAGAAACAACTTTGCTGATATTTTAGCTTATCTGAAAATACTTGCATGTAAAATTTGAAATACGTGTTATATATAATATTTTATTACCGATAACTGATAATTGATAAATAATAAGTATAGTAGTTAACGCGAATTGCTCTGAATCTACGAATAGGAACCCATAATAATGTAATATGAAATATTTTTTATTAATATTATTATATGTAGGTAATATCATTGATTATAGAATAATATTATATTATATTATAATATTATATTCTATAATCAATGGTAATATGTATAATATATTATATTATACCTCTTCCGGCTCTTCCATAATAAATAAAAAAATTATGATGTGTAAGGAATTATAATACTAATTAAATATAACAATATAATATAACGTAAGAAGAAGAATATAACTTAAAATTGTAAGGTTCTGGTCTCCTTCCCCTAATAGAAAGGTTTATATTTTTAACTGTTCTAATTCATAATTAGGAGTATTGATTACCTATATATTATTATTTGTAATCAAGGCTATCAGCTATGGAGTCTACAGAAAATAGAAAAAAATATGTATATAAACTATAAAGGACAAATAACGATTGTTGATAGTTTCTGATGAATCAATTTTTTGTGAATTGTGGATGTATTATTTGTTATATGTGTGTTGAATATTGAATATGTATGTATAGTATTGTTTATCAAAAATAAATATATTTAATTAAAACTCTTATGAATCATGATAGGAAATATACTTATTACTTACTATACGTCTATACAAAAAGGACTACGAGAAAATGATATCGTTGGTTTATGGTTTAATATTTATACAATATTGACATTACATATTTACATGTTGAAACCTTGTATATCGTATATGAGTATATTTAAGTAGGTAGTGATTTAAAGTTAAAAGTCAATAATACTATTAATTGTTGCGTAATCATAATAGTATACACAAAAATAATTTTACATAAAATCAACTAATTACTAAATTTATATTATATTTAGTTAAATATTGAAACCCTTCGTATAAACGATAAATAATAAGACAATATTTCCCAAGTCATAGTGGTTTTTATTAGTTTTAATAAAATTAATATAAAACTTATATTGTATTAAAATCTATTATTTTGTGCCATTCAAACTTAAATATTACAATATTTTAATAAGTAATTACATTTAAGTTATGAGCGGAGCGATAAATTTTACAACATTATTTTTGTGTATGTATGTATTCATTATTTATCGTAGAATAAATCTTTTAATTTTCAATTTCGATATTTTTCTGGTATGAAAATAAATCTATTGACTATTAGGTACTATAAGGAAGTTACTAGAGGATATTTTCTTAATAATTGGGAAAAACAAAATAAAAACTATGGAAAAATGATAATTTTTTCATAAAATCAGATCTCAACAATTGATTTTCTTATATTATGACTTAAAAATATATAATAGTATAGATATGCTTAAAACTTTTAAAGTTAATAATACAATTTTTAAAACATTTTGAAATTTTAAATAGTTTATTTTTCCATAAATTTTGATGACATTTTTTTGCTTGATCTAAAAGTTTGAAAAATAAATACAAGGTTCCACATAATAGTTTATTTTGACATAAAAATATATAAGTACAATTTGTTTTATAGATTCTTTAATTTAGGTATTTAAACGAAGATTACTGTACCTATTAACAATATTATAAATGTTATGTTTTTAGAATTAAAAAAAAAAATATTTAAATCAATTTATACTTACCATAACTATACTAATACATGATAAGATACTTTTAACACCTAGAGTACACCTATAAGTACCTAACTAACCTTTTTTATATTAATGATAAAAAAAAAAAAACTAATTTTGTTCAAAACTTACATTTAAATACTTAATAATAGTTAGACGTCAGTTAATACCTACTAAAAAAATAACAACTTATAATAATTAACCAATAATAACACACAGAAACGCGCATATTATATTACTATGATGTATAGATATTTTAAATAAATTGCTGTGTTTAAATGAACACTTGGTCGAGTATAATTTAGAAATATTCAATTATTGGGTTTGGGTGAGCATCTTTTAAAAAATGATCGATAATTAACAAATAATAATTTTGTATTATTAAAAAATAGTCATAACTTCAATTTTTGTTTTAAACACTTTTGTAATACTTGTTTTTTTTTTTTTATTTCATCTAAGAAAATGTTTGATATTTTGATAATAATTATATATTAATTAATAAAACCGTAGAACTAGCACGGCTTACGTATCTTCATCTTTATAAATATCACAAAAACGTGAAACGATTTCTTTGAACAATTGTATCTGAAGTTCTACAAACCCATTTGCATGATTTTTGTTTTAAATGTAGGTAAGTGTTCAATGTTTTAACCAGTCAGTTAATCAAAAAAAGTTCAAAAGGTTATTAGAAATAAAAATATTAGTTTTCTGTAAGTAGTGACGTGTTTCTTGCCGTGCATGTTACATGCTCATATAACTCCTACTACATAATCTACTGCTGCGTAGTTGATTGTTGTCATAAGCAAGAGTTAATATCCAAATAAATAGAAATTTTAAATTGTTGGGTAAAATATTTGCTTAATTCTTGATATCTATATCATGAAAACTGTAGAAGTCAAATCATTTTCTATTTTCTATAATTTTTAAACACTAAACATTAATATGTTGCATTAATATAAGTAACTTATTTTTTTTTTATCAGCGATAGGTAATTTAGCTAGTATGATATTAGATCCCGAGTGTACTAGAATACTAAATTATTGAGTAGGATACTGTTATGGATGTGTTAATTGAATTCAATATTACAATTTTCAATACGAAAAATAATCCTAAGCGGAAATAGTTTTTCATCTTATATTTTTAAGAATATTTTTATAATGTAGATATTTATTATTTGTGCTATTCACTTTAATAACAATTTATTTTTCAATAGGTAAGTGATAGGTTATTAGATTTAACTAATTTTGGACAAAATCGTTGAACTAAATACATTATTATTAGTTATTAGTGTTATTACTTACCTGTTGATTTTCTATCTTTGTCTAACACATGTGAAATGTAGAAATGTAGATGTGTTGTCATTCTAACATACTGATTGATCTAGTACCTAAAGTAATAAAAATTTTAAAAACAGGTTTGAATTTATAGCCAAGTCTACTTAAGAACGGCTTCACTATATTTTATATCCCTAAAATCATAAAATAAATCATACTAAAAAAGGATTAATATAATAAATTTAAAAAAAAACTACTAATTTGATACAATTTGTTATCATAAATCCCCTTAAAGTATAAGATTGAAGCTTTATCACTATTTCTTCAATTAAAGTAGAAGATAGAATATTCTTTTTCCAAAATATAATAGCTGATAAATAATTTTCGGCAAAAAAAAACATATTTTTAAACTAATATATGTATCGCTTTGTTAAGAATTTTAAATCTGTAAAATATATATCACAATATTCAATTTATTATATTTAAATTGTTTAAAAAATTAAATATATTACTTTAATAATTTAAGCAGTAAATTTAATATTAACCTTTATGGTGATAGTTAGATAATTATGTAGACTTGAACTATGTATAGAGAATAAAAAAATTAGTATCTATTTTAATAATATTCTAAATAGTTTAATCATTAAATTTCAATAAAAGAATTTATTATAGTATATAAATTAAAGATTTGAGACACTTAATAACTTATTATATGTTATTTTATGCCAAAATAATTTTAAAAAAACGTGATTATTAGTAAATTATCATTAATTTATAAAATTTAATTTAATTTTAATACCTATATTGTTTTTGTTTATTTAAAAACATTCACAAAACCAATTATTTATACTTTTTGGTAATTAGTAAGCTAAAACCTCAATGATTAATATTTACTTAAAATTGTAAAAAGACAATTGTTATAATATAATAAAATATTTTCATTTTATCACTAATATTAATAATTATTTTATGTATTTTGCATATTAAGTTTTAGAAAAATGTAAATGTATTGTATAATCATACACTTAGATATTAATTGTGTATAATATTCATGTACATTACATTTTTTACAGTTATTCTTTATGCATCTCTAATCATATTTAGTGAGATATTTTTATGATAGAATCAAGTTTATATTAATATGTATGTCAATACAAAATAATACAGATAAGCTATGTGTTTGTCCTATAAATTGTGATAATTATTATATTTACATTATTAATGTTTAAATATTAACATAGTATTTAAATCATATAATTCAATTTTTATAGTTGCAATATTTCATGTTGTTTTTTCAATACATAAATTGTACATTAACAGTTAATATTTTAAAACTGTATGAAAAACTATGACTGTATAAAATGAAAAACCTTAACCTATCCTATGTAATAGATACATAATATATTTATATAATATAAAATTGATAAGATCCAACATATTATTTATGTACAGCAGGTATATACAATACTGGTACTTTATAACATACTAATGTAAATAAACAAATGTTTAATGCCGATATAATTATTATAATAAAAGTGATTGTTCTTCTTTAATTTTTATTATTAATACCATTAACATTTTACATTACATGAATTTTATATATTTATAAATTAAGTTTATGAATTGAAATAAAAATAATGTTATAGATGTAACAAAATAAACACACACACACACACACACACCATTGTTTACAATTTTTATATAAAATAAACCAGATAAACTATACTTAACTCTAACATGCATGTTTTCTTAAAAATTATAGGACATAATATATTATGATCATAATATATGTATGCATTAATAAATTAAACTTCATAAAAAAAAAAAAAAAAATTGCTTTGTCTCCATTATCAAAACAATTGTTTGACACTGTGAACAATTAGTGGATGATCATCTTAATCTTTTTTATTTGGTTGTAATTTTCGCTTATCAACTTTCTGTTGCTGTTGAGCAGCCATTGCATTAGCAGCCATTATGAGCATTTGCTGCTGATTTTGCTGCATAGAAGTTGAAGAAGAAGTAGTAGTAGTAGTAATAGTAGATGTTGTTGCAATAGACATACTACTACCATTACGTTGTTGATGGTTACGACTTCTGCTACCACATAACATGTCCACGATGGATGTTGAAGCAGAAGCTGTTGAAACTACTGTTGCATTTCGACGTTGTAATTGTTGCCTAACTGTCATCGGACCAAAAGAAGTAGTAGCAGAACTATTGATCGAACTATTATGGGTTGCTGTTGACGAGCTACGTTTATGTTGCTGCTGTGATAGAAGCCTTAACGAATTGGTAGAGACAGAAGTTGTGACAGGTACAATTGTGATTTCTAAGTTAGTCGCAGCAGTTGATGGTCCTGCAGTAGTAGTAGAATGGAATGGTATTAGACTTTTTCGGTTTTGTTGATTTTGAAGGTTACTGTTAATAATTGTTGATGTTGATCTCTGTTGCCTTGTGGTGTTTGGTGCCGTTGATGGCTTAACAGTAAGGTCCAGTAGAGTTGCTGTCTGCTGTTGCCGGACTATGCCACCATTTTTACGCAGTCTTTGATGTTGCCTATTATTGTCACCAATAGGATTTCTATTATTAACACCACCGGTCAATAATACATTATTAGTGTTATTACTGACTGGTGTGCCTTCATGCGGTTTTTGTTGCTGCTGTTGTAGTTTCAGCGAATCAATCGCACGATTTATTTTGTCATGCAATGCTGCTGCTGCCGCTGCTGCGGTATGTTGTTGGCCACCAATGGAACTGTGGTTCATGTTAACTGACCGCCGTCGTTGCTGTTGATGACTCATTGTTACCGGGGTTGTTGAAGTGGAACCACTTCCAGGCGAAGTCTGTCTTTGATGAGATATTTGCTGTTGATGTTGCTGAGACTTGTTTAATAGGCATACAACATCAGGCGTTACGGTCATCACTACAGAATCTGTGTCTGAATCTACATTTGAATCATCGTCAGTACCGCCGTGGCATGGTTCATTCCGAACGCTACCGTTGAAGTCTTCATTGTTAGTAGACAACAATGATTCGAATGAAATACCACGCCGCCGACGCTGTTGTGAAGTTACCGCAGCACTAGCTTCTTTTCCGACGCTATTTCCACTACCGGCAGTTGAATTTAAAGGTACTGCTGTTACTTCCAATCCACCCAATCGCAAAGCATCTACTAGCCACCGACGCTGCCTCTCTTCATCTTCTCGTTGTTGTCTTTGTTCATCATTAAAATGTTGGCGTGAAACACGTCTTTGGCAAGCCGCCATGGCTGCCGCAACTGTAGATTTTTTGTATCGACCATTATCATCAGATCCATATTCTCGGTTGTCATCGTTATCGTCGTATTCTATTATGACAGGTGGAAGTTGTGTTTGTTGTCGTTCAATGTTATTTCTTCGCTGAGAAGTGACCGGTAAAACTGTAGTTGTAGCATGAATTTTTTGCCGGTTTTGTAGTCGATTATTAAATCTTTGTAGTTGTTGATGAGGAGAACTATTATTAGAAGGGACTATGACTGGCATGATAGATACAGAAGGTGGTAGGTGATGATGTATTATTCTAGTTGTTGAAGATTGTAACGACGAAATAGGTGGAGGCAGTCGTCTGTTTAACGGCTGTAATCTTTGTTGTTGTTGTTGTTGTGCAGAGATGATGTGCTGTTGACGCTGAGATTGACTAAGCTGATGTAATTGTTCTAATTGTTTAGAACGGTGAGTTGACTGTTGCTGTTGTTGTGGCTGTTTAGGTCTCGGATGTGATTGCTGCTGCGGGTAAATTACTCGAGGTTGTTGATTCTGAAGTTGTTCTGTGGTATAAACCACGCGGCGACGTTTAGTCGGTTGTTGTTGACCAGATTGCCCGACAGCTGTCGCTGGGCGCTTGTTAATTATAGCTGCAGATACAGTAGTAGCACCATTAATGACAATCATGTTTCCGGTAGATGTTGTTGATATAGTTTTTTTGTTGTTATGATGAATGTTAACTTTTGTGGTAGAGTTATTCTTATTGGCAGGTTTAGATACTACTGTTGATGGAGGTGGTACACTATCTGAATCTGAGGTAGAAGCATCGGTAGTAGAATTAGTGGCAGCATCGTTTGTCGCAGAAGACGCATCATCTGAATCCGATTCGTCTGAGTCATCGTCATCGGTTGACGATGAATAATTCATTCCCACTGTCGCTCCACTGGCTTCATTTTGTTGTCGACTACATTTCTTCTTAAGCTTTCGGCGTCGATGACGCCTACGCCGGTCATCATTGCTGTCACCACCACGTTCCAAGTGACGTAACCGACGGCGTACTCGGTTCCACCGGAATGACATCCAAGATGCTGGATGAGAAGGCCAGCCTTTGAGTTTAGGCGCTGTAAACGTAATGACAAACATAAGGTAAATGGTGATAAATACTTAACATCACATAATAATAAAAAATTTTAAGTATATTAGCACCTATATATTTATTAATAAACCAGCTATTAAAAATCAAGAGAAAGAATAATTTTAATAAAATAGTGTGTCCTAAAAGTCAAGTAACATATGTGGAAAATAAATAAATTTAAATATGGGTTCTCTCCACTATAATGAGTTAGAAGAAAATTCTAATTGAGAGCATAAATTTTAACAAAAATATATTTTTATGCAATTAAATTTTTTCAATTTTCAAGATAAACATTATTTTTATCATATTTTTAAAATAATTTAATTGAGTGTTAATTGTTTAAGTTAAAGCAAATTAAGTTTTCGGTTTCATAAAGATACCTAATAGATATGTTAGAAAACCATGAATTGCATACTATAATCAATTTTGATTAGAACGCAGATTTTAATTTTAAAGTTAATTCTTCAATAAATAATTTATTTCTAAGCACTGGATCTTTTCTTAATCTATGTAATACTCTGTCACAAAATTTCAAAAGTTTCTATTCATTACCAACATGAAAAAGTTGAACAAATTTGGTTTATGTGTTTTTACTTTATTTGTTGTAAGATTTTATGAAAGCATAATTTGCTACCAATAAAATATGATTATTTTGAAGATACAACTACACTTCAGAGAATGTTAATGGTGTGATTGTATGATCAATATTTTTTGCCTTCATTGATTTCAATCTGACCTTTTTTTATTCATTGATATGACAAAAATTTTAAAATAAAATTAGAAAAATCAATGATATAAGCACCTTATATTAAATCATATATGCTAAGTACTTAATATCTATGTAATCTGATTAATGTTTTATCATTTTTTTAAAACATGGCCAAAAATGACCTTTTTAAAAATTTGAAAATAAAAATTTGATACATTTATTTGTTTTTGAAAAATAAATTTGAGGTTTTTGTTTTACACTTAACTTTATTGATTTTCCATGGAAATATCAAATCTACACCGCACATAGTATATAATGTAAACTAGAAATTATCTGCTATTTTTAAATTAATATAAACTTAATTAATTGAATTAAAAATTGACTTTGATTCAATTAGATATAAAAATGATATCCCAGTAAAAACAAAAAAAATACTGTTTGTTGAATTAAATTAAAACTAATGTATTGTTATAAAATTATAAGTAATATAACAGTGTATATCATATTTTTCATATCATTCTTGTAAAGTTTTATCAGGAGCCAAAATTATGTATGAATTTTTTCAATAATATTTTATTCAATTATCATCTATAATATGTATAAAAATTAAGCTCAAAACTATATTACTCACATCTAGGTAATTTTTTTATCAATATAGGTATATGATATATAATATTATATTTCATTAACTATTATTGTTTAACTAAAACGAATAAATACAAGAAAAATGAGTTTAAAGATAAAATAAGACAATAAAAATGTGGAATAAGACACAAAAAAAATAATCGTTTTAAATAAATAGGTTCTAATCAGAATAATAAAAAAAATCATAAACCTAAAATCCAATCATTCTACACATTTTTTTACATTTTTCAATTTGAATTATTAAATCCTTTAAATTAATATCAGATAAAATTTAAATCCATCATACTTACACAGTCATTTGCTTTTAATTGTTGACATAAAAACAGAAATATTGGGAACTTTTTAAATTTTTTTAAACCTTGTCCTTGTTTAAGATTTATGATATCATACATTATTTTAATATTCTGTATTACTTGATTACTAATATTAGAATAAATATACACATACCCATGTGGTTGACCAACACTGCAGTATTTTGCTGATGGTTATGTTGTGCATTAAAAGGTTCTAACAAAAGTTCAGCTGGATAATCATACGTGTCTCGACAAAATAAAACTCGGATCATAGAATCTACTCCACTGTATGTAGGTGTCTTCAACTTTTCTTTATCATTATCTATGACAATAGCAGAACTTTCTTCGTTCATTTGCTCTTCACGCTTACGTTGCAATTGTGCTCTATATCGGCAGTATCTAGAGTAGCTCATTACCACTAATCGTTGTTTTATACTATTACCCCCAATGACATTGCTTTTCATTATTTTGTCATTACGTTGGTAACTTTTACGACGTTTACAACAATAGCAGCAGCATTTTTGATCATTGTCCTGTTTTTTTTCTGCTGTAAAAAAAAAAAGAATAGTGAAAACCACAAAAAACGACATTAAATTAGTTATAGTTTGTATAGTACCTTTATTTACTCCCTCTGATACATTATTATGGAGATGATCATTTTTCTTAGTAACAGTACTTGTGCTATCACCATTAACCAATGACCCATGCTTTAAATGATTGCGTTTACGATGGCAGTGCTGATGATGGTAAGGCTCACAGTGCTTATTGTGAATTCTAGCTGCAGCCAAGGGAACATGTTCTGCGTCTACAGCTTCGTCAACAGTATATTTTAAGTGATATTTATTATTGTCACTACTGTCAAGGTTTTGCTTTATTGTTTTACTACCATTATCTACTGATTCAACAGCTGCAGTTGGATCTTCTTGTTCCTTTTTTACTTCTACTGGATTTACAGATAGTAATTCTTCTTTTATTACTACATCTTTGGTCAGGTTCGATTCTAATTTCACTTTACTGTTTATATCATCATTGCAAGTTTTTAAATTTTCTTTCTGGCATTGTTTTATTACATCACCCTTTATGTCCGTTACTAATGATGTTAGTTCTGATATTTGTTCATCCTTAGGTTTTAAAGTTTCTATGTTGTTAGATTTTTGATCATTAGAGCTGTTTTCATTACATTCTGATTCTGATGACTCATTGTCAGACTCAGTATCTTCATTTTCATCATCATCGTTCATCAGTCCACCACGAACCCATTCAACAAAATCTTCGGCCCGCAATACTAATCCTGAACAGCCAGATGGCAGTGTTCCTGACGAATGACTTCCACTACCATAACCATAATCATCAACGCTACCACCGCCATTATAGATAGATCCTACACCACTGTTGCCATTCATAAAAATGTTACTCGGCCATCTATCTGCACCACCGTTGGCACTCCAAGTGTTGATCTCTAACACTTCATCCTCACCATGTACACCACCAAGTCGACCAGCAGCCGTCTGATCAGGCATCACATATAACCGAATGCTACACAGTATGTTTCCATGATTATACTGAGCGTTGGGTGACAATAGTGGAACACTCACAGAGGTAGGATCTGATGGCACAGCTGTAGATAATCGATTACGGTTGTATGGTGACTGTGACAAGAGTTGGTTATCAGACGATGCTGCAGCTGCCACTGCGGCATAAGATTCTGCAGCCTCAAGCTTTTTAGCTGACGGCTGACGAGTGCGTCTAGGCAAAGTACGACGACGCGGCAATAATGTTGCTGAATCATCATCAAATCCACCACTAACAACATCATCATCATCTGAACTGGCCACAGTACCACTATGGATGTTACTACTGCTTATTGTAGTATCTGTTCTATCACTGCCGCCATTTGAAGTCTCTGGTGGCACAATTCTGTTGTTATTACGTTTCTTGAGCTGAGATGAAGATGATGGAGCTGTTGTTGATGTCACCACGCTGTCGTCACGCCATAATAACTCTAATTCACCAATACAAACAGATTGCTGATAGTGATGTTGTCGCCTCTCTGCTGCCGCAGTAGTTGTTTTAGACATTTTTGGAGAATTTTTTTGTTGACGTCTTCGCTGCCGCAGCTGCTGCCGGTCATTATTACTGCTATTTCTCTTGCTATACCATGGACGAACTGGATAGAAATGATTCATGCGCACAACAGACCATTCAGAATGAGATGATGACGAGGACGATCCATCATCACAGAAACACAAATTGTTGCTTGCATCATTATGGGCACAACAACATGACGACGAAGAATCATAAGAATCGACAGCGTCATCACTTTTATTGTCCACCCCTTTCACAGACTTTTTCCATCGCCGTCTCTTCTTTTTTGTTATGTTGTCGTGTTTACGGTAGGCTAACGCACTATAAAATGTGTAAGGCCCATGCGTAGCAAGTGGTTCACCTATCAGACGCACAGTGGTTAACATTTTGTCCTCTTTCGATGGATCACTTTCCTTTTCTTCATTATCGTTATTTTTTTTATGATGTTCTAATGAATCGGGCTCAGTCTCTACAAATGTCATTGGAATGTCAGCTTCAGCAACTTTTGGTGACGCCTGGTGCTCTTTAATACTTTTGTCACCAACAGCTTTGACTTCATCATTCACGTCGCTCATTGAGTCTTCGTTTGCAATAGATTCACTGTCTCCGTTTTTAGCTATACATTAAACAAACAATAATCATTGTTTACTCTAGGAAGTTTCATATAGTATATAAGACAAAAATATTTGTACAAACAATTAACAATATTAACTATATAAGAAACATTGTGTTTAAAAAGGTAACGGAAAAAAAATAAATATTGTTTGTCATATTTTTTATAACCATACTTAAATTGGAAAACAAAATGTATATTACATTATAATAAATTTTTATATTTTTAGTTAGTTCTGTATTCTTTATTTTTTTTATCTATTTATAAGCATAAAAGCAAAATCAAAGATAGATACCATCAATGATGATTGTTAAAACATTTTATTACATTTTTATTTTTATCTCATAGACCCCATTTGGACTAAACAAATATATTCCAAAACAAGAGGTAAAATTATATTTTTTATTATCTATATACTAATATTTGAAGAAGTATATTATTATATTAGCATATATATAAAAAAAAAGTATACATTCAAATATTAATAAAATTTAATATGAAATAATACTATGAAAATAATGTATGTTGATTCATCCATTTTATATAAAAAAAATAAAAAAAAGATTAAACTAATGTTATTTATATACAAGATGTAAACTGTACATGATACCCAGCTTATTTTTTATACACAATATACAGGTAAAAATATGTAAAACATGAGTATATTAAATAGAATATTAATTGTGTATAAAATTACATCGATAAGGTATTTTAATTTTAACACAGTATATCCATTGCTTAATAAAAGAACAACTTGTTAAAAATTATTATTAATTATTGACATAGATTAGGGAATGTAATTTGTTTAATATATTTTTATTGGAATATATGTACCTATATATTTAAATAAATTATTTTTTTTTTTTAATTTGAAATTTTGAAAATACTGCATTATGATTTAGTTAGTGTTTAGTACAATGATGTAATAAATGTAATACATAAAGTTATAATATATTACATATAGAACAGAGAATTACTTAAAAATAAAATAAGAACATTGTTATATTATATTTTTTGAATCCAATATTATTAGATTTCTTTTAAAATTTTAGACAGATACTAATAAGTAAATGTTTATAACTTGAACTCAAAAAGTGCTAAACAAAAACTGACTAATTGTCGATAATACTGATTATCTTGCTATATAAATAAAAAATAAACTAATAGTTTAATAATAAACAGATAGTAATTAGTTTGATATAAAGTAATTTTAAACATAATTAATAGAAAAATGACTAAGTTTTAACTTTTAATAAATTGATTAAAATGTATTGGACATTTATTAAATAAAAACAAATATTAATATTACAAATTAAACTTATCTGTATATTACGTACATTGTACACCTGCATTCTATATGAATTTAATTTTGAGTTTTTAACTGCATTTATTGTATTAATAAATTAATTAAGTGTTTAATTAATAATTATTCAACATATAATATTAAACTTTGATATGGATTCATTGGACTCAATGAGTAATATTTAAAAACATACATTATTAATTATTTACCTATTAAAAACTTATTGAAATACCTATGTATTTCAATACCTAATAAAAGTGAAAAGTTAATTTATTTTGTTTTGGACAATAAACAATTGTATTAGAGAATTAAAAAATAACACTGAAGAAATAATTTAAGTTAAGATACTTAGTTTTAAGTTATGTAAATACAATTTTTGAGAATAGAATTATTTTAATGATAACTAAAATACTAAAATAATATATTAAAAACAGAATAAACATTTATAATATAAATTAGACTAAATTTAACGTCACAAAAAAAACACTTAGTAATGTTGAAAATGGTGACTCTTAAACATTTTCCTTTCCAGCAACTACAAAACATACAATGATGTAGTTTGAAAAGTAAATTATATAAAAAAATAAATAATTATTTAAAAAAAAATATATGGGTAGGTACTTGCCTTGTTAATTTTGACTAATAATTATTTACATTATCTCAAAGTATCTTATTAACAAAAACCTGTGTTTGAACCTAAGGCTACCTAAAAATAATTAAATATTAAATCATTAATTTAAATAAAAATTAATTTTTGTTCTCCCGAAAAATTGAAAAATACTATATAAAGATCTGAAATTTAAAATTTTTGGATTACTTAACTGTAAATTTTGTTTTTCTTTTTATAAATCATTTTCAAAATAATATTAATTTAACAAAAAAAAAAATATAAATAAATAAATAATAAGTAGTTTAAATAAATTTTAATCTTTATTAAATTAATTAATAATAAGTGAAACCTCCAATCACTGGATAATCTTGATTTGGTTGTTAAATTTTTGTTTACTATTCAAAAAGTTCACTTTATAGAAAGTTTATAGTTAGTTCTCAAAAAAAAAAAAAATCTACTATTTAAAGGTTCTATTAGGAAAGGAAAGTTTCACAGTACTAGATAGTAATATTAAAAACATGACAATAATTGCATTTCTTTTGCATGAAATTCTTATAAAAATATATTATGTATAATAATTAAAATAATTAGTTATATTATAATTGAAGTGAACAGACGCAACTATGATCATTTTTTTTTTTTTTTGAGGGCTGACGCATTTATAGTTTTTCTTTATTAATCTATGTGAATCGAGGTGTGAACATTTCTCCCATTCCACTATATTAGGTTTAAATAAATTTGGTTTGTATAGTAAATATAAATGTTAATTATAATTTATAATAATTATAAAATAAAAGTTTTCATTAACAATTATTAGAAATAAACAATTCTACAAAGTAATCCAATATAAGTTTATAAGTTAATTATTTTCCTTCTTTTTTTTTTTCGTTAACTTTAATATTATTAGTTTAATAAACGCTCATGACACCACTTCTTTTATAATATTTATTTGTAGAGAATATTCTAACATTGTCAAAATGGAAAGTAGTTTTATTAGATTAGAATAATTTTAAAATCAACACAATAAAAAAGATACATGGATCTTATACATTAGTTTTCATAGTAAGATAACTACAAAAAGTAAGGTTAGAAATAAATGAATTAACATTGGATATTTTCCGGAGTGCAATATTTTAGATAGTTTAAATTCTATTCAAGTTGGATTTTTTTGTCAACACAATAAGCAAGTTTTAATTTAGCTATATATTTAAACAGTACACAAATCAATACACAGAAAATATTTTAAAAGCCACTGTTTTTTATGACCTGATCAAGCTTTAAAAGATACTAGTACCATGTACTGAAAAGTGGTACTGTCTCAATAAAATCGGGACAAATGAGAACCCTAGAAACATTATTTTTATTATGTAGTATGCAGTTAAAATACTTAAAAGTTGAATTAAAGATGAGGAAATTATACTTATGATACCTAATCTATAAATCTGGAGACCTTGTATAAATAGAGAACGTAGAAAAATACTTATAAAATGTTTGTTAACTATAATACTGTTATATAAGTATTTTTTATTCTGTCTTGAATTATAGCTAAAATGTTAACAATTCGTGTATCCAATTATCAATCAAAATATGTATACAACTGTGGTAATTATAAGAAAGCGCCAGGTACATCTTAAACATATTAACAATATTATCATCTAAGTTAGAAAAAATTGTATTCATAAATATTGTTTTAAAGAACTAATGAAATTCACGATGTATTAAATTTAACAAATTGCAATTAAGAACAAACATTTTTCATTTGAAAAATATGACAGCTCAAATGTATTCAAACATCAAATTTGAGATAAACAAAATATTATTTTTATTCAAATATGTAGGTATTGTAATTTTTTTCTTTTTAGAATACAACTATGGATGTGTAATAGTACAATTAAGATTAAATATAAAAAATTAAAAAATTAAAAACACACAAACAAACCCACACACGCACACACACAACACACACACACACACACACATACATACACATATACACAAAACAAATATTTTTGAAGTACGAGTATTATTTTTTTTACACAATATTATGTTAATAAAACATGAATAATCGGTCATGATGTCAATGAATATAAAAATAAAATAATATATTAGTATTATAACTATACCTGATGTATATTGTGAAAGATTGTTTTCGTGTCAAACGTCGTCCATCCTGTCGGCGTTGAGTATTCGTAATAATAAGCTCGTACAAGCCAAGTCGAAAAACTTTTGTATCTGAAACCGGATCACTGAGCTGCTTATTGTTCAATAATTGCCGAGAAATGAAAATTAATTTATCAAAATAACGTTGAATAATAACAATAATAAAAAAAAATATATGTATGTACAATACGACGCGATACACACACACGACTGAATAATAACATCAATTTAATTAGTCACCATCGTCGATTTACGCGTAAATTGTCGTATTATAATAATTAACGCGAGTGGAAGTATAATTTTAAACTAGTGATGTATTATTTTTTTTTTTCTGTTATCGGAATGAAATTTATTGTATACATTAATATTGTTGGTTCCCTATCGGGTAAATAATATATTTTAATAAAATAATTATATGCGCGCGCGCTACAGTGCGCTCGTGTGTGTGCGTTTGCGTGTGTGTGTGTGCGCGCGCGAGTGTTCTAGTGTGCGTGCATGCGCGTCTGGGAGAGTTGTGCTTGTGCGTGCGTGTGCGTGTGTGAGTGTATAATATTATGAGTATGCGTCTGTGTTATAAAATACACATTATAATCTATACCAATACTACAACAAGTTTGACTAACGAATAGATTGTGTACGGCGGCGGCGGCGGGGAGGAGGTCGCGGACATATTAATAGATAAATAATGATAATAATAATAATAATAATAATAATAATAATAATAATAGTTAATGTTTTGTAGATATTATTATTGTTTCATGGCGGTTGTGGAGGTTGACTTTACTCGGCTATGTAGCGTGATAGCTGTAGCGGGGGTGCGCGTCGCTGCCAACATAGGAACGACTACGATTGGAGGGTAGGAGAATCGCCAGCCAAATGAATGTATAACAGTAAAATATTATACTCTATATATAGTATAATAATATATACGTAATATTGTACATTTATACGCAGCCGCGGTTCGTGGCGGTAGTAGCTAGTGGCCGCCGCCTCTAATACTTTGTTGTAGCAGTAGTACACTAGCTCTGTACTTAGTCGAGCTAGATGTTTTTGAGTGCGCGCGGATCTGGGAGCGCCGACCGCCGCCGAGCCGCCACGGACCGATCCGCGGTACGCGGTGGCGGTGGTGGCGGTGGGTGGTGTTGATGGCTGGAAACTGTGGGCAGGCGAGTGGTGGCGGTGGCGGCGGCGGCGGCTGTCTAGCTGCTGCGTTCAGTGGACTACGGTAAGAAGTGAGAACGACGACGGGTCTTCGCGGCAGCGACGGGTGGCGATGGATTCGGCCGCCGCCGGGGAGAGCTATTAGGAAGAGGAGTCTAGCTTGCAGCAGGAGAGTGAATTTCGATTTCGTCGTCGTCGTCGCTCGTTGGTGGCGTCGGCGGCGGAACAGTGGATTGGAGGGGAGAGCCCCGCCACCATGGTCGCGGCGACGGGCGTCCGTCGCTACCGCCTCCGCCACCGCCGCCGCATAGTTGCCGATGACAGGAGCGGAGGAGAAAAAGATTGCTTTTCCTGAGATTATGTACACACACCGCTCACATCTATAGTACATAGAAAATACATAGAAATCATGTGTACACATAAAAATATGTCGTATGTCATCGAATGAGGTCTTTTAGTACAAATATACATGGTTACCCTAATATAATATAATATATTTTTATACAACGTTATATTATAATTTATGTAATTAACTATACAGTGTAGACTTTAAGTACTTAATTAAAAACTTACAAATACACTCACACACGCACACACATAGGTACATACAGCCACTGATTTTTGTATATAAGTGAGCATATTATATGGTATATGTTATTAATGATTGTACTGAATAAACTTGCTACCTACACGTATAATATTAGGTATATATTATTAAGATATTAGTCAATAGTCAGGTAAGTTGTCCACCGTAAAATATTAACAAAGTCATATTATTGGGTGAAAGAAAACTAACAATAGTGATTGTGATTTTATAAAAATTTAAAATCTTATTTGACGATATACATAGCTACTATTGACTTTTTTTTACTAATATATTATTATACTACCTATATGGTAGTAATATTATATATATATAATATGACCTATGTCGGTCAACTGGCGAGAGATGTAAATTCTAAATAACCTCACGGACACGCATTTTTTACCGTTCATATTTTTATAATGTGTAGAATCATGGGCGTGCGCAGGTGTGCGCAGGTCTTTATTCTTCGTGGTAGAGACTAGTGGAGGCAGTGACTACTGACTAGGGAACAAATAAGGGGTTATTGGGAGAGGTGGGGAGGATTAGCCGCTCAAAATTCAATATCATTAGTACAAAATTAAAATAATGGTATAATAAAATAAATATAACTATAATTTATAAAGAATAAATATTTAATCAGTCTTAAATGACAACTACTAATATGACTATTTGACCTTTTAAAATAAAGTAGAAGTTAACATTTTTAAATATTATAAAATAATAAATAAACAATTGTACAAAAAGTATATACAATTTTTAATAATAATCAAGAGTAAAACTGATAAATTATGAGGCTATATTATAATCAAAATGTAAACTATTATAAATATTTTAACTAATTGTACTCTATTATATAAATATTTGCAACTAATGACCTTTGTAGCCGAGTTATTATAAAGATCAATAAAAAAAAAAAAAAATAATTTCGTTAAAAATACGATCTACAAAAGCAGCTACATCAAATTAATATTTATAGATAAAATAATTAATAATTTTGGTACAGCAGTTTTTATACTTCTACTTGTTAGTACTTATAGTTTCAACATTCGTTTTAATTCATAACATAAACCGAAAAATCATAATGTATAAGAATTTTTACCGTAGTATGCAATTTATATGATGTGAATAATTTTAACTTCATGATTATTTGTAGTTAGTTCGTAAATTTTCTAATTTATTTTATATGCTACATTAAATTATATGTCAAATATGGTATAATAATAATACTGATAATGTAAGATAATTAAACATCATAATAAATTATCAGAGATCAAAGATCAAGAAAAATTGATTTTTAAATGTCAACATTGCATATTATATAGGTTTTTTTTTCATTAAATAAAAATTCTATACCGAAGGTTTTTAAGGAGTTTATTATAGGCGAGTACGTATTGTATAAATGTGCGCGTAGTAAGTGATCATTAGTGTGTGTGACCGTCGACCGACGACTGTAGAAATGTAGTGAAAAATAATGAGTGCTCTGGCACATGCATCCACCCACATGTCCATAAAGACAGCATGAATATTATTTATTTTTTATCTAAAGCATTAATATTTTTCCAATTATTATATTAACTAATCTATTTATTAGATACAATTTCTGAAAACATATATTCATATTTGCTATGAAATATATTAAAAAATTACTTTCTTACATTTTATAATAAAATTAAATTTTTTACTTCAATATTATTATCATAATATTAGTATAGAAAATTTTAAAGTCTTAGGATTAAATTTAAAATAGTGATTAAGTCATTTTCAAGTTAACTTCATAGCGAATTCAATAATGTTATATGAAATTTTATCCGATAGCTAGGTTAATCGGTACAATGGACATATGATAAGATCTGTATTGGTAAAAAATGCAGCCGTGACTGAATCGCCTTAAAACAAAATTCTGTAATAAATATTTTAAATTGGGTATATTGTATATATAAACATAAAATAAAAATATTTTTTTAGATAAATTGCCACTTGAATAAATAAATAGAAAGTAATTTTTGTCTCTTGAAATATATTTTATGTTCATTAATTTATTATTAAAATTATTCATAACAAAATATTATTAAATCTAAATGTTTAAATATAATAGTAGATGTTACGATTTTTAGTGGCCTATTCTAACAATAAATAATTTTCTATATTTCGATTTTAATATGTTATATAATGTTATTTAATTATTACAAAAATTAATGTTTAGTATAGGTTCAACTTATTAATTAAATATAGGTATACTATTACTATACTGTCTATACTATATTATTTGTACTGGCATGAATGCATGATCGCATTTAAAGTCAGGGAAAACAGGAAATTGTTTGATCTGGAGGATGGCTAATTTATTAAAAGATATCATTGTTTAATAATCCTTCCATAACTCTAATCACGTATTTCCTACAAAATTAATATAATCTGTATTTTTATATTTTGTAATTTGTTACCATACTTTATAATATCATTTATTATTACTAGCATTATAGTATAAAATATAAATATCTTGTCCTTAGCTCATTAGCTGTAAAAACATAAAAATTATGTTTCATCTTCCGCCATCATTTATTATAATATAATTTAAGAAATTTGCAATTCACTACATATATAGGAACAACATTTTTAATTGTTATTTTTTTTTTAATTTAAGTTTACCTTATTAAAAGATTGTTTAAAACTAATACATTTTTTTTAAAACAATTACAGTTTTTTTCGTTCTTGTGAGGCAAATTTGGAAATAGTCTTGCTTACTATGTTAATTTATCAATTATTAGGATGTGATTATTCGAGCTCAGATTATATATACTAAAAACAATTTTTATAAAAAATCCCACAGATAAAATTTTTTGTTGAAAAATTTGATGTAAGAACCTTTTGAAATACTCCTGCAGGATTAATTATCAATACCTTAAAATTAACGTAAATCTTATAAATAACACAAACCCAACAACACTAGCATTTGAGTTAGTGTCTAATAAGTTTTATTTATGTAATCAATATTTGAACCAAACCAAAATCGGCTGTATGTATCTATGATTTGAATTTATTTGAACCGCGATTATGCTGTGACATTTAAAAATCATTTTTATTATTTTTAATTTTATAATTCATTTTTCAATTAACTGCAATTTGTTACAGTAAACAAAATCAAACCTTTTTTTTCTAAGAGTATTCATATTGTTAGTTATTAATAGAAAAAATATGAATTTGTATATTTTTAATTGTTTATATAACTATTTTAGTTTCATAAATAAAGATCGTCTTTTTACAAAATCTTTAATTTATTATAATTTTTTTTAAACACGATAGGCACTGATCCGAGTTCCCTTCCAATCGTCATTTTTCCGAGACATGGGTACTACAACGTTTAGCCGACGTCCGAGGTATAATGTGTTTCTGGGAAAGCACGCAAACTTACCGATGTAAGCTCGTCGCGACCATCCGTACGGTGCGTTATGGATAATATCTATTATATAGCGCTATCTTGTGCGTTTGAACATTTATATCTATCGCGGTATTATGATTTTAACGATAACAGCCGAGACAACGGGCAATGAGTGCACAACACGACTGCATACCCAAACCATGAGACGTGACCGCAACTGTGCAATAAATAACAGTGTAACTACTAAACGTCGGACGTTTGGAGAAACGTTATCTCGGACGTGTACGGCGAATGGAGGCATCTGTCGGCACGCACGGAGGCGAACTGCCGTCCGGGCCGTCCGGCCGCCCGAGATCGGTGCGCGTACCGTTCCGGTGCGTTCGTTGCGCGTCGGTTCGGCGACGCCGTCGCTCGATTGCCATCCACTCCGCAGCACACAGCGCCATCACCGCCTCCCGATCCCGATCCCGCGACCCCCGCCGCCGTCACGGCGCGTACGTCCGTGCACCCACCGCCGTCGCCCGCACTCCCACCCGCCCGCCAGTCCACCCGCCAGTGCGACAACACCGCCGACCGCCCACCGGCCGCTATTACGGCACACACGTATTATACACACGGACGGACGCACGCACGCACACACGCTCAGCGCGCGCGCACATTATTATCGATATCTCTCGGCGGCCGACGGCTACGGTGGCGATGACAAGGTAGCAGCGGCAGCGTCGTACGGCGTCTATCTCTACGTAACAGTAATATACGCGCGACAGCGGCGGCAAACCACCAACCGACCACGACCACCAGTCACCACAGCGATTCTGTGCCGTCTACCACTGTCCGCGTCCGTTCGCCGACAACGCCGAGCACCGACATCGGCGGCACCGGACGCCGTACACGATTCCGCCGTAAACACGTCGTGGCCGAACGACGCGCGCGTAACCACTCTGGCGGTGTCCACGGGCGCAATTGGCGGCTAGAATTCGATTCGACGTGCTGATCGTCGCTTAGACGGTTTGTCTCGTTATTCGGTTACCGAATCCGTCGCCGTTATAGGTACGGGCCGTTTGTTGTTATTATCGTTGTTGTTGTTGTTGTATCCGCGGCGCGTCCGCCGCAAGTACGCGTCTACACTCCGCCGCGCCGGTCGTCGTTTCGCCCCTTTACCAGTGCGGTGCCGTCGTGTTTTGCGCGTTCCAGCCGCCCGCCGGACAAGTGTTTTTTCATTCCGTACGGATTTTCGTCGCGGCCCTCCCCCGGAAACACGCGCGGCCGTGTACGGCCGATCGTCGACCGTTTTCGTCGTACCCCGCGTCGCCGGCGAATCGCGACCGACGATATACTGACGTATCGCTCGTTCGGTAATTTTAGCTCGATACACGTCGAGTATACATCGAGTGTATAAGCAGTGTTCGCGCTCCGATTCACTTGTCTGTTCGCGAAATCATAGACATGTCCGAGGAGTCGATGGTCGCAGTCATTGCATCGATGGTGCCAGATACGAGTGGCAGTGGAGGCGGTTATCGTCACAAGCACTGGTACTGAAATCGACGACATCGAGAACTGTCTGCACACGATCGCTCAAAGAGTAGAATTTTATTTTAGAAAGTGGAATTAAAAAGTATTCATCATTTACCGAAAAAAGACTAATATGAGGCAGGGACGCGGTGGCCAACGTAGTAAAAAATGTGAGTATAAATACTGAGTATTCTTTTTCCAGAGTAAATACATTTGTCTATATATCCACAGCATAGCATCTATTAATGACTAATGTAGTTAATTAATAATTAATAGTTATTATCAACAAGATATAGACGTTTTCAATATTTATTATATATCTAAACTTGTAGCCCGAAAAATTGATTAATGAAAATAGTGACTTTTATACTAATATTGATATGGTATGATGACTAAAGAGTATTGTATTACACATATTAGTATATTCATTGGTACTTAATCTGTGAACATCTCATGACAACATATTATAGGTAGATGATATTTCTTGTATTTTAATATTTTTTTATAAGAGTTAAAATTATTAATTTCATAATCATAATATGCTGGTGGTTTGTGTACAAAATTTATTTATGTATTAGACCAATAATTGTAGGTCATCAAATCATGCTTAAGTAGTTAACTGTATTGATTCGTTAAATATTTCATTTAAAATGAGTGTTCTTACAATCTGGCATTAATACTATAGGTACATAAAATCTAAATATTATGTGTGTATAAAAACAAGACTACTTACTATTCTATAATACATTAAGAATTAGTTTTGTATTGATAACTTTTAGTTTATGGAAATTTAAATAAAATTTTTTTGGGTACAAGAACAAACCCAGCTCAGTAATGAACACAATATTGAGATCGTTTAGTAAAAAAGTATATCTAGATGTTTACCATATTTATTAAACATTAAACATCAATTGATTAAAAAAAAAAAAACAACTATCAACGAGTACTAAGTATTCAATTTGTAATTTTTAAAATTTTAATAGGTAATTCAATTTATTTTGTTTTCTTCATACATGAATATATAAATTAAGATACTGAATTTATGTTATTTATTAAGTAGGTATCTATAAAATATTAATAAACTATTTAAATATAATATTCAAAATCAAATTCTTAACTACACAACTACTCATGTAAGAAATTATAGACCAAGATATGATATGTATGTATTTTTAACATGTTCAGAATATATTTACTGATCCAAAATTATTTTTTACATAAAAATGTACAATGAATTTCAATGTTAATTTTTTTATTTTATTTCAAAGCTAGAGTTCTTAAATACAATTTTGTTGTTTTTAGCCTTTTTATTAAGGCATAAACATTTTACGATGTTATCAAATTACAAATATTCCTAATATCTACATAATTAAATAATTTTTTCTTGTTGCTTTATTTTAGCTGGATGCAGTAGACGAGGTGGAGGAGCTGGAGGTGGAAGTGTTGGCGGAGCCGGTAATACAGGAGGTGGTGGTGGTTCAGCTGTAGCTTTAGCAGCAACTCTAGTAGATGATGGTATAGGTGGCGGTGGTGTGCCTGGAGGACCTGGAGGCTCAGCGGCAGCCGCAGCTGCTGCTGCTGCTGCTGCTGCAGCGGCAGCTGCTTCTTCATGGAAAACTGGTGGCGGTCCAGGAGGACCAGGCAGTGGTCCAGGAGATCCGTTTGGCATGGGTTATGGAGGTGGCCCCGGAGGACCTGGAAGTGGTGGTCCATATCAGCAACATCATCAACAGCAAGGTCACCAGTCCCCGTCATTGTTCCATCAACAACAAGGATCACCTGCGCCCGGTGGCGGCCCTTATGGAGGTGGTGGTGGTGGTAATAGTACTCCACAGCACCAACAACAGCAACATTATAGCCCATCAACTCCCGGAGGAGGTGGATCTTCAACCCCTGTACCTTATGGTGGTGGACCAGGCACCCCAAATAGCCAGCATGGAGGTGGCGGTGGACCATTCAATGGTGGCGGCGGTGGAGCACAGATGCCTTTTGGATCACCATCTTCAGTCAGTTCTGGTGGTGGGGGATTCGGTAGTGGTGGCCCTGGAAGCAATCGACCTGGGTCTGGACCTCCGCCTCCCCAACAATCTCCATTTGGTGGTCAACAATTTTATGGGAGTAGTGGTGGGGGTCCTATGCCTCCAGGATCGCCGTTTAGTCAACAACAACAAATGATGAATCATCATGGTGGGGGTGGTGGAGCTGGTGGAGGAATGATGAATGCCACAGATTCGGGTCCCGGTGGTCGTATGATGGTTGATCATCCTTCGTAAGTTAATAATTAGTAAAAAAAAATTAAATCTTAATTACTTTAATGTTTAATTATATGTTTATTTATGTTCTATAATTATTAGTAACTTATTAATTTTTTTCATATCCAGATGTTTCCCATCGTCAATGGTAGGTGGACCTAATGGTCCTCCTGGTGGTGGTGGAGGTCGCCGAGGGTATGGTGGACCTGGAGGATATGGTGGTGGACCACCTGGTCATCATGGTGGTGGACCACCAGGACATCATGGTGGTAGTGTGTTAGGAGGTCCTCATGGTGGACCTCCGGGACATTTAGGGGGTGGTGTGCACCATAGTGGTCCTACAGGACATCATGGAGGACCACCAGGTGGTCCTCCTCATCATGGTGGTGGCGGACCCCCGGGACACCACGGAGGTCCTCCACATCATGGTGGTCCACCTGGAAGTGGGCCCCATGGTGGACCTCCTCACCCACATGGTGGTGGCGGACCACCACACCATGGTGGTGGCGTCCCTCTTCATCCACACGGCGGCGCAGGAGTTCCACCACATGGGCCACCACATCATCCACATGGCCCTCCACATCATGGTGGTCCTCATGGACCTCCACCTCCTCCACACCCACATCCACCACATGCACATCATGTGCAACCTGATTATCGGATATTTGAATTAAACAAGAGGCTGCAAAATCGTAATGAGGTAATATGACCGGTATATGATTATAGAATTATTAAAAAAAAAAATGTTATTTTGACTTAAGCATTTTATGATTTTTGTGATTAGAGTTTTAAAAAATATGAAATAATTAAGGTTTACAGTGCATTTATATTTTTATTGCTTTTATTTATTTAATCTGTTTGTTTGGTTATAGGACAGTGACAACGTATGGTGGGACCAGTTTGCCACGGAGTTTTTTGAAGATGATGCCACATTGACACTTACATTTTGCTTAGAAGATGGTCCCAAGCGATACTGTATGTATAATAATCTATCTTAATATTCTATTTAGTACAATATTAATTGCAATTATTTATTTTTTGACGTATTTAATCTACATTGACAGCCATTGGAAGAACCCTGATTCCTAGATACTTTAGGTCAATATTTGAAGGTGGAGTTACTGATCTGTATTATCATTTAAGAGCTAATGCTACCAAAGAGTCTTTTCACAATACCAGCCTTACCCTGGACTGTGATCACTGTACCATGGTGACCACACATTTAACATCAAATCCAGGTGGTGGGCCACCGTCTTCCATTGCTCAGTCGCCAGGACCTGGTGGTCCAGGTAGTGTAGGAGGAGGACCTCCTGCATCACTAAACGGTGGTATTGGAATGCAAAAGTCTTTGGTGGCTCAAGGTCCTCCATCATCACAGCAATCGGGTACGTACATTTAAATTATATTAATGATTGAATGATCACTTGTATATTATTATAATAAATAAAAAATTTTACATAGCAATTATTTATTAGGCTTGTTTAGGAATTGGACAAACAATAGTATACACTATATTTGTTATGTCAATACATTGTTGTATTTCTTATTAAAGGAATAAATACTAGATAATTTTTGGAATCTAGTTTTGATGAGTTATTTCAAGAATCATAAATTAGGAGAAGTTTTTTTTTTAATATGTTTGAAGGTCAGTTTTTTTTATCATTAAAAGTTGTAGCTTCTACTATTTATTTATTGATTTAAAATTATTTTGAGATTGAGTTACAATATCAATTATATATGTATACCTAAATAATAAAATCGTTAAAATAAAAAATGAAAACTAACATTAAAAAAATGTGTTTGTACGGTCAACATACTAATAAAGCACATTGCTGTCTTTCCTCATTATAGGTTTACTTTTAAAAATATTGATTTGCTTCTAAAAGTAAACAATATAAAGGTCTTGTAACCTAGTCCTATTTGGTACCAGGTTATTTAATATGTTTAATTTTGTATTTAGTATTTGATAAGCACCATTTGGTTTAAATGGTTAATTTGGTTTAAATGGTTACTGTTATTTGATTTATAAAAAATTAATACTTTTTATTCAATGATTTTAAGTATATAATTTTGTATAGGCATAAGATAAGTTAATTCTTATTTTTTAACAGTGCTTGGTGGCGGTGGACCGATGGGTGGTGCAGGAGGACCTCCATCACCGCCTGTATATACCAGGGTGTGCACTGAGGGTAGACTTACATTAGAATTTACGTATGACGATATGATGCGTATTCGGACGTGGCATTTAGCAGTCAGGCAACACAGGGAATTGGTTCCAAGATCGTCTGCAGCCGCAGCTGTTGCAGCGGTTGTTATGATGCAGCAAGGAGGACCAGGAGGTGGCAGTGATGGAGGGCCACCAGGTGGACCCCCACCACCTAATGCTGAAATTGTTCACCAACAAGTAGCAAAAAATATCACACGACAGGGCATTACAAACTCAACGCTTAATTATCTAAGAGTAAGTATTAGACAACTAGGAGCTAATCTTAAATATCATTATTATTCTTCCTTATTTCAACAGTTATCACAATAGAATAGTGATATTCTACCTCCTGGAACTATGAATAAAATTGAGTTTATTGTTAATATAATATATACAACAAAAATATATTTATTTATTTTTAAATAATCGACAGTTTGTCCAACTTACAATGTTGATGACTGATAGAATAAAATACAATAGATATAAAAACTGAATAACTAATATACTTTTCTATACACAATTAATAAAAGAAAACAATTCAATTAAAGTAATTAGGCTTTTTAAAAAAAAGCTGCATTAGGTAACATTTATTTATATTAAGCCCATTGAGGTACATATCATTGTTAGTAGAAATTATTTAAATCTTTCTGTAACAAACGCACCATTGCTTTTTTTTAAATTGATGTTTACTGTTATTTATTTTAATTAGCTAAAGTTATATTACTTTAAATGTATTAATTGTATTAAATAATTTCCTTCAGTTATGCGTCATATTGGAACCCATGCAAGAATTGATGTCCAGGCACAAAGCTTATGCACTCAGTCCTAGAGATTGTCTGAAGACAACTCTATTTCAAAAGTGGCAACGTATGGTTGCACCACCAGGTAATATTACCATAAATATAATAGTATTATAAATTTATAACATATAAACATATTCAGTAACATGTATTATAGTTAGCAACTATAATACATATAGAGATTTAGATAAAAATTCCAAAACAAAATTTAAATACATTAACAAACATAACTATTGACATACTCAGTAATAAATAAAATTAACCTCAAGCCGTAACCAAATTCATCTGGTATGGTAAAATCTATTTTTGTAGTTACTCATGTTACAATGGTCACTTGTGCTCAAAAATTTACTTGACCATGTTAATTTATACAGCAACTAGCAAGCTTTTGTTGAATCGTGTATAATAACTTATTTAATAATTAAATAGACTACAGAACCAACTATATCTGAATTACTTCTCGTGTTTAAAAATTAAATACTAAGATCCTTTTTTTGATTAGGACGGAATTGTTATGAATAGTGTTTTTTTAGCCAAGACGAACTAGTATAAATATTTTTTTTTAGCCAGGACGGACTAGTATAAATATTTTTTTTTAGCCTGGACGGAAATAGTATGAATATTTTTTTTTAATTTGACTTTTTTGATTGGGATGGAATTAGTATTTATTCATTTTTTATGTGGAATGGAATTAAATACAGCGTTTTTGATTTATGCTAAATTAATATGAATAGTTTATTTAACTGAAACAAAATTGTATATACCTTTATTGGTTGTGAAAAAATTAGTATATATATATTTTTAGTAGGAACGGAGTCGTTTATTTTATTTTATTTTCAGGGGATGGAATTAGTATTTTCTCTTTTTTTTTTTTGCTAGGACGGAATTGATTTATACACTTTTTGATTAAGATAGAATTAGTTTATACCATTTTTTGATTGGGATAAAACACGAATACTACTGCCGCTGTACCATGATCATGTATTATGTGTATAAATAATCAAATTATTACCTTGGTACATTACCATGTTAGTACTTACGACTTACGAGAACAATACACCTATACAAGTTTTCTTCGCCTTAAAAATGTTAAAACAGCAAATTAAGTCGATTTTTTTATTAGATCTAATGTTTAAATAAATTGACCTAGTATTAAAGTTAAAGGTAAGAGCATTATCTATTTTCTCTTGTTAGTTTTTATATTTTAATTTTTAAGTGAGTTTTGTTTGTATTAAAATAATAAAATACTTATAATACAAACATACTCATAACTTTATTGAAAATTTAAATATTGTAAATTCAAATAAAAGGTAACAAATAATGTGCTTTATGTATGAACATAGTCAATTTACTTTTGTATTATAATATATTATAATTTATAACATAAAATTGGATCTAGTGATGCCAAATTTGCTAAGTTGTTGTACGTTTTGTCACAGTGACATACGTAAGTGCGAATCATTTTAGGTAGAGTTTGACTAAGACGTCATAGCTCATCTTGTGACTTAATGATTTTAAATATATGTTCATCGCTGGTAAATATGATTTAACAGCATTTTATTAGTCTCCCTGTAAGTATTTAATGGATAAGTTTATTTGTTATATCTTTATTACCAAGGTGGTGGTAATCTTTATCGTTTTTTAATAGGTTAACTCTATTAACTCCGAATTCTGAGTCCCTGATAAAAAGTCATACCATAAAATATACGAAATATTAATCCATTTTTTTTTTTTGTGTATTTAATAGAATCACAAAGACCGGCCAACAAAAGGCGTAAGCGCAAGGGTAGTAACTCTGGAGCTGGTGGAGGTCCTCCAACTACACTTGGCGGTGGTGGACCAGGTGGCGGACCGGGTAATGGGCCGACTGCTGCTTCAAAGAAACGAAGCCCTGGACCAAATGGTGGAGGTGGTGGGGGCGGTGGAGCCGGTGGCGCAGGGTTCAACCTAGCATCACAGGTACGGTCACGGTATATAAAAACATATGACATTCGTAATTATGTCCAAATAATTAATATAATGTTGAACTATGAATTTATTTTTTATTATAATTTATTTGTATCAAACAGGACGTGATGGTTGTTGGAGAACCATCTCTGATGGGCGGTGAATTTGGAGACGAAGATGAACGTTTGATCACGCGACTGGAAAACACTCAGTACGATGCTGCTGCAGCAGCAGCTGCTGCCGCTGCCGCCGCTGCAGCAGCAGCTGCAGCTGCTAACTCAGCTGCAGCTTCAGTGATGGGTGTTGGCCCTGGTGGTCCAGGATCTGTAGGTTCAGTTGGAGGCAATGATCTTCAACATATAGGAGGTGGTGGAGGCGGACCTGGTGGTATGGGACCAGGTAGTGGAGGTGGACCTGGTGGTATGGGATCAGTTAGTGGCGGAGGAGGACCTATGGGACCTGGAGGACCAATGAATGTTGGTGGACCTGGAGGGCAGATGGGACCAGTAGGTCTTATGGGAAGTGATTCTCTATTTCCACCACCTGGATCTGGAGCAGATGGCAGTGCCCCGGGCACACCAACTGGTGGTAGTGGTGGTGGAGTTGTGGTTTCGCAATCGTCATCTTCCAATAACCCCAATGGCCTTCAGCAACAACAACAAAACTCTTGGGTCACAGGACCACCTAGTGGTGGTGGCAGTGGTGGAGGACCTCCAAATGGTGGCCAATCTGGACAAAATAGTGGGGGCGGACAACAGCAACAAAATCCAGGAAGTAATCCTGGAGCTGGAGGTGGATCATCTATTGGAGGTAATGGTAACCCTGGAAGCAATGGTGGTCCCAATAGTGTTGGTGATTCTATTTCATCTAGTGGTGGAGATAAAAAATCTCCAGCATCTGCTGCTTCTCAACAACAGCAACAGCAACAACACATGGGATTGTAAATAACACTGCCAATCAATACACATAGTACTTAAAATGTCTTGTCATTTTTTGTTGATGTGCACACCAAACATACACAATATAAAACAAACAATGTTTATATCATAAATACATCGCTTAATAAGTATACGCAAAAATCAGCGAATTTTATTGATTGTTTTATTTTTATTTTATTATTATTATTATTATTATTATTATTATTATTATTATTATTATT